TGTGTGTGTGTGTGTGTGTGTGTGTGTGTGTGTGTGTGTGTGTGTGTGTATAAATTAAAAAAATGGCTCGTAGACAACAGAGTTGATAGTTCTAGAGGAAAAACGCTGATCTGTAATATTTTGCTATAGGAATGGAGATTTAAGGCACTTCTGGATTAAGTTAGTTTAAGTATGCTGTGTGAACTTAGTTGTTGTGGTTCATAAGTTTTTGGCTTAGCATGTTGAGCGAACCCACCCAAGTATTTATTTAGTAAAGCATAGATAAGTGAACTGAATAAGTGATAAGTGACTAAATTTGAAAAATCCATTACAATTATGTTCAATTAAATGGAGAAAGTAATAGTACAATATTCTTATAGTTGTATAATATATATAAATGAATGTAAAGTCCCATTTTGAGTTTATGGGTCATTGTGTAAATAAGTTCATATTAATCAAGAACTTTGTAGAATATTATTAATGGATTATTAATTTGGATAGCATTAACTGTTCTTAAAGTGTTCTATTTTCTTTATCATCAGATATGATGGAAGAATTGCACAGCCTGGATCCACGACGACAGGAACTGTTAGAGGCCAGGTTTACTGGAGCAGGTGTTGCTAAGGTTAGTTATGTGCACAACCAGTTGGCTAATTGTATGTATACCTCTGCATGTTTTGGTAACATTTTATGAAATGGGGATATGTTAAATAGCAGGGATATAATTGAGATCTGCATGGTACAAAGGAATTGATTCAAAGTCCTATTATCAACTTGTTGATTTCAGTGATAATAATGAAACTTGTCCAAACCATATAAATTGATGATCTACTGCATCTTCAAAATCAAGATAATTGTGACCGGCCTTTTTAAATCATATTCTAAAGCACACTTGTGCAATTAATAAAGGAAAAAAGGGCCATGTTGATAAACATTAAAAAAATAGATAAAATTCAACTTACAAATGCCAAAATAATTAATAATTAAAATAGTTATTAGCTACATTTTAAATCCTCCAAAAATCCTTCTTTCTTCCAGGCATCCCCCAAAATTTCAGAATAAATTTATTTATTTATTGAATTTATATTGCCACCTATTCGCCCATGGCAACTCAAGGTGGCTTACAGAATGTAAAACCATATTTAAAACAAAACAATAAAAACTAACAAAAAGAATCAAATAAATTAATAAAATACAATAGAACAAAATCTGAAAAAAAATCATCCCCCAACTCTCACCCACCTGTAACTTATTGATTCTAGACCTGCCCTCTCCAGTAGATGAGTCTACTTCCTCAACAATATGACAACCCTATAGATATCTGAAATTTCACATTCTTTTAAGCAAACTAAAATGCTTATTTACTATTCCTTTTAGAACTTGGTTTCTAGTCTCCAACTTTATCAAATTTGTTTCAATTTGTCAGTGCTCATTTTACACCTCTGTCCAAAGCAATATGCAAGTAGGCCTTGATAGAGACAGAATAGAATGAGAAAATAATATTCCATTGTCTAAATTTGATGCTTAGTGGCTTTATCATAGTGTTAGTTAATATTAATGTGTGTTTTGCTAGAATATTCATATTCTTTTCTTAGTTAATGTCAAGGTAGGGTTCTCCCTTTCATTTGTTTTCTTTTTTTTACACTTTTGTGTATGTAACTTACATTTGATAATCCTGTTTTCTTAACCTCTTCATCCAGGTTATTAATAAAAAATATTGAATAGCAGATGGCATAAAACAGTGCTGTGGTATTCTGCTTGTTAGTCATTCAACCAATTAGAAATTCATCTAACAATTTGTCAGCTATTCTATAATCTATCTCATATTGTACCATTTTATTAATAAAGTATCATGTGAGACATTGTTGAATGCCTTGCTGATTTTATAAAAATGTACTCTACCAGTAGCATTGCCTAATTTGTCATGTTTCCCTGAAAATAAGATCCGGTCTTATATTTTGAGGGTGGCCCTCCAAAATAAGCACTAGGGCTGATTTTCAGGGATATACAATTTCAAAGTAATCAGCCCAATTGGGTGCCTCCACCCCCTGGATATATGTACAAGAGGTACATATCTATCTGTTATAATAGAGAGCTAACAATCTGAATTATCATAATTTATCGTTATCAGTGACTTTTGTGGTAAAAGGAATTTAAAGAAGACAAAGTTTCCTGTTGGTAACACATGTTTGTTTCCTTTATACACTAGGGTCCTTTGAATAATGAATCTTCCAATCAGAGTTTGTGCAGTGTGGGTTCCTTGAGTGACAAAGAACTGGAGGTAACTAAAATGATATTTTTCAAATAATCCTCACAGAGGACTTTAGCCCAAAATTTTAGCCACTAAATGATCTGATTGTTAAGCAAGTCATCAGGTGACCAGAGTCATTTTTATGACTACTATGTGGTTATTGAATAAATCATAGCAGACATTAAGTATCTATTGGAATCATTAAGTGAATCACAGACTTTAAGTGCATCTGGCTTCCACAATTGACTTTGCTTCTCAGAAGCCAGATGAGAAGGTTGCAGATTTTGATCATGTGATCATAAGATGCTTTATCTGTTGAAAACTAGTGAACCAGTTGCTAAGTGCCTAATTTGCGATCACATAACCACATGGCAACATGACAGTTGTAACTCACTTTTTCCAAGGCTGTTACAATCTTAAACAATCATAAATGGAGGACTGCATATATTGCGGATGACTTTGACCAAAAAGTCTTAATTTAATCTTTGACAATAAAAAATATTCTGCTTAACTCAGGACTACTGCAGCAACTTAACTAACTAATTTACACTAATCAGTAATTGGTTATTTGCTGAGTATGGTGTTCCATAATCACATCTAAAAGTACCAAAAATGGAAATGTACTCTGTTTTGAAAGTTAAAATATCTGTGGAGGAGTTGCTGATAACCATATTTCATTTTTTTAAAAGTTGTGACCTTAAATCCTTAGATGTTTGTAGAAATTCATTGGATTTTTTTCACCCCTTTAAGACTCCTGAAAAAAAACAAAATGATCAGCGCAACAGAAAGAGGAAAGGTGAACCATTTGAAACCAATCAAAGTAAGGCTTCTATTTAGAATATCTAAAAAATTGATGGCTTTCTGCAGTAATGCAGAACATATGCAACAATCTTCTAATATGTAATGAAATTATTATGATATATTAGATAACAAAATGATATAATATGCTATGTTTTCTTTTTTTTTTAAGCAAATTTTATTAATTTCAAAAAACAAACAAATCATCATCAACCATTACATATTTGAACCTTTTTCCATTATAGATTTAACAAGTCAGATAAAACCTTATCTTATACAATACATTTCTATATTATTTCATCTATTTCTTTCTGACTTGATTATCGTCACTCTCTTTCTATGTTTCTACAAGGTTTCACCAATACTCTCAAAGACATAAACAGACACAAACATACATATAAAAAATCTTTTAGTAAAGTAACTTGGCCCCAGGTACATCTCTTTATATGGGCTTTAATTATATTCATGCTCATCTTACAGATCATTATTTATTTATTTATTTATTTATTTATTTATTTGATTTGTCAATTGTTTACAAGATTTTAATACTTATTTTATTTACCATTCTATATCTTCTATATAAACTTCTCCACACATTTCACTCTTCATAATTCTATCTTATTCAATCCATCTTAATTTAAATCATTATATTTGTATCTTTTGCCCATCCTTTATTATCCCTCTATCTCATTCCTTATAATGAAAAAAAAAAAAAAAAGAATTTCTCCTGAAATCACTAATCAGAGTATGATGCCTTTCTATCCTCTCCCTAAATTAATTAGATTAACATTTAAAATAACACCTAATACCCAATTTGATTCTGCTTGGTACATTCTATCTACTAATTTTTACTTTTAGTAACAATAAAAACAGAGTAAAAAATCAAAAATGTTTAAATACATAATATCCTCCTAAATACGTAGTTAAATAATAAATCTAAATAATAAATCTTATAGCATTCTCATTGCCTTTCCCTTCAATATTTTATTACATTTTAAAAATCAATCATTATTAAACATTTCAACATTTTAATTTCTTATTAACTCTTAAGCCATTCTAATTTTCTATTTCTAATACAAATGTTACAGTACCATCTTGTGTACCTTGCAGAATCTTTTTTAAAAAAAATTATGCTTTACCCATTATCCCTAAAAAGGATTCCTGTTTTCCCATCTAATTTTAAAACTTTGTGGCTTTTCTCCGCCTTTCCCCTTTCTTTCTTCCCCCACCAAATCTTCCTACCCCCCCCCTTCTTCTAACCTCTGTCTTGCCGGCATCCCTTCTCTGTTGTATTCCCTTTTTCTCTTGTTTGCTATCATTGTATTTATTTTGCATCATATTTTTCTCTTTCTTAAATGTTTTTTTAGATCTTAAATCCTTCATTTTCCTCGCTTTCTTCCTTCCTTCTTTCTTAGATGAATTTTGGGATTCATTGAAGATGGCGTCTTCATCTTCTTGTTGTTCTTCAGCTTCCATCTGTATTGTCTGTTCATAGTTAACCAACGCCATTTCTAAAAATAGAAAAGCTTTTTCCATACCATCTTTACAGGCTGCTTTTGTTTGCTCATATTCATCCCTCAGTTCCTCAAAAGAAAAAGCCATTATAGATCTTTTCTTTTTCCCTCTTTCTTCTCACACCAACCAAAATATTCCAAAAGAAAAATAAGACAATCCCAAAGTCCACAATCCTCAATCAATCCAAGCCAAGCCAAAATTCCCCCTTTCTCTTCCAGGGGTAGTATCAGACAAAGGAAAAAAGAAAGTTCAAATCTGTGTTTTGAAGCCTTATTAAGATTTTATTTCTGTTTTCAAATCCTTAAGGCATCTCCTCCAACAAAATCCAACCAGATAAATATATTTTTTGTCCTCTCCCTTCCGACTTATCCCAAAAAGCTAGTTTTACCTGAAAAAAACAACAGGTTTCTCAATATCCATTTATTAATTCCGTCGGGGGGGGAGAGTAAACTTTCCTTTCAGCACCTCAGAATTGCCGCTTATTTCCTCTTGTGGAAAGAATCCTCCAAAAAGCCATCATTTTCAGGAATTAAATTAAATATATCTTAGAGTCCTGGGTCGACCAAGAAGACTTTCACTTTTAAAAACTTTCTCCTCTTCCTCCAGCGCATACTTGCCCAGCTGCCGGCTTCTTTGTGGCGGCCATTACGGACCGCCGCTGCACCGTCTTGGTAAAAGGAGGTTCTGCCGGCTAGGGAGGGGGTCTGCAGCACCCCCAAACCCTTTCCCGGATCCCCCCTACCTTCAGCTGCCCCTGCAGGGCAGCCTTGCTCCGCACCCTTTCGGATCGGAGCCCCAAAAACGGCTAGCGCGGCAGGGATCGCGCAGCTTCGCGAATCCCTACCGCTCGCAAAGCCGACAAACCGGAAATCTGAATATGCTATGTTTTCTTTGGAACATTTCCTGGAAAAGTTATATTAAAATGGGCTATATTGAAAATGGTATATTGAAAAATGTTAATTTAGTTGATGCTTAAGTAAATGTGTCTTTTCTGCTGTTTTTTTATAGCTGTAATATATTCATAAAGAGCAACCAGAAGCTCTTAATTTAAGTTATATTCAGCATTTGCATTTTCTCTGATTTGCTGTGGTTTCTCTTTTATTAAATTGTTTCTCTTAATGTCTTCCTCATACATATATCATTTTTTTCTTTCTTTCCCCTTTCCACTGACTAGCTTTGAATGACATTCAAATATCTCAAAATCAAAAAAAGTTCAGTAAAATAATTGAAGTATTGTAGTATTTTTAAATTATTTAATTTAATATCATTTATGGTAATGTTGTTTGTTTTTCTTTCCAGACAAAATTATTCCCAGGGGACATAAAATTAGTGACTACTTTGAGGTAAGCCAATGTTGTGCACTTTCTCTCCCTTCTCCCTCTATCTAGCTATCTATACATACATACATGTATGTATGCATATATAGTGTGTATACACACACATTAGTTTAAGAAACAGCCTCCAAATTCTATGTACACTCCTCAGTAGTAGGCCTTGAAAATATATGATTAAGTTTTCCAGGCAATTTGTCTTGATTATTTTTTTATTCCCTTTGTAGACATAATTTGGTTGTACTTCTGTATTTAACTTGCTATGCAGAACATCCCTGATGAAAAGTGAAAGAAACAATGATAGTATGGGCAAAGAACTTTGGATATACAATAGAATTAGACAAATGTCAAAAACTTTGGGATTGAAATTATAAATTGACAATGGCAACTACATATAAGGAAAACTTATATAAGATGTTTTACAGGTGGCATCTGCCACTGGCAAGGCTAGCAAAGATGTTTAAAAATATGTCCGCTAAATGTTGGAAATGTAATCAGATAACGCTCGTACATGGTGGACATGCCCAAAGGCAAAAACAATATTTGACAAAAATATATACATGGTTAGAGAAAATGATAAAGCAACATATAAATTTAAAGCCATAACTATTTTTGTTAAGTATATTACCAGAAAAATATGACAGAAGGGGTTGTTTATTTAATATTACTTATGTTGACAGCAGCAAGAATTGTATTTGCACAATATTTGAAAAAGGAAATTCCTACAGATGAAATTTAAATTTTTTTAGACTGTGTGGAAATGGATATGTTAACATTAAAGATAAAGAATAAAGAAGATACAGAATATTTTTAACATAGGATTACCAGTGGTTAAGCAATAAAGGTAGAAATTACCGTGTTTCTCACATAATAAGGCCGGGCCTTATTTTTTTTTGACCCCCGAAAAACCGGCTAGGCCGTCTTTTCGGGGGTGACTTAATTTCCCCCCCCCCCACCCCATTGCATCCTCGGGTGGGCGGGCGGCGACAGCTTGGATGTTCGGGAGACCTTCCACCACCGTTGCTTTTCCTTCTCCCTTACTGCCGTAGCGTTACAGTAACGCCACGACGTTTGGCGCAGCCACGTGCGGCCAGTCAGGGCTCCTCCCTGCAACCGGAGCCCTGAGGAGACACTTGGCTTCAGGCGCTCCTGTGGCCGCCTTCCCTTTGCCTTCGAAGGTAAAGCGAATTATTTTAAAAACCTCCGCTCATCCCATCAGGGCCGCGCCGGAGCCGGGCAGAGCCGGGAAAGCAAGCCGCGGGTGTTTTCTGGTTCTGCCCAGCCCGCACGGCTCTGCCACGGCCCTGGCGGGATGAGCGGAGGGCCCGGCGGGGAGGCACTCGCTGCCTTGGTGACATTTCGGGTGCCTCCGCTGCCTCCTCGCCCATCGCAGGTGGCGGCGGCAAGCGGCGGCGCTTCGCTGAGGGAAAAAGAAGACAGCGCAGCCACCTTGCTTGCTTTCCCACCTGCCCGCCCCAGACGGCCTCAGGAGCGGCGGCAGTGGCAGCAGGCGCGCACACTCCTGCCGGCGAAGGGAGGAGAGGCGAGGAAAGAGAAGGGAGTGCGGCAGCAGCGGCTGTCACAGTATCGTCTCATAGCAGGGCAAGGCTGGCAAGCTGAGGTGGCCGCACCAGAGAGCGTCACTGCCGACCCCGTCGTGAGGATAAAGGAGTGGGATAGAGATTCAGTCAGATGTCAGCCTCAGCTAGAGAAAAGAGCCAGCCTCTCGGAGCACGCCGGCGTCTCCCTCCCCCCTCTCTATGTATGAAAGAGCTCGCCTCGCCTTTGGCGAAGCACACGAGTTTCGCAGTCGGAGAGGGAGGCGGCGGCGAAAAGGACGCGGCGGCAACGGCAGAATGCTGCCAGTCAGGACCTTGCATTGAAGCAGCCCGGGGGGCACGTAGCCACCTCCCTCCAGCCCACCTTGAGGATTTGCCTTTTGTTGTTGGTATACTTGGCTTCAGGCGCTCCTGTCGCCGCCTTCCCTTTGCCTTCGAAGGTAAAGTGAATTATTTTAAAAACCTCCGCTCATCCCGTCAGGGCCGCGGCAGAGCCGTGTGGGCTGGGCAGAACCAGGAAACACCCGCGGCTTGCTTTCCCGGCTCTGCCCAGCTCGCACGGCTCCGGCGCGGCCCTGATGGGATGAGCGGAGGTTTTTTAAATAATTCGCTTTACCTTTGAAAGCAAAGGGAAGGCGGCCACAAGAGCGCCTGAAGCCAAGTGTCTCCTCAGGGCTCCGGTTGCAGGGAGGAGCCCTGACTGGCTGCACGTGGCTGCGCCAAACGCTGCGGCGTTGCTGTAACGCAGCAGCAGCAAGGGAGAAGGGAAAGCAACGGTGGCGGAAGGTCTCCCGATATGAAGTGCTCCACCAACGCAGGCAGCACCATATCTGGGCATGCAACAAAGTACTTCCTAACGGCAACCCCCCCCCCGCCATTCCCCCCCCCATTTCGCATGTTTAAAAAGGGCCTTAATTTGGGGGGAGGGGCTTAATTTGATTTTATGCCAATAAATCATGCTGGGGCTTCCTATTGGTGGAGGCCGTATTGTTGGAGAAACACGGTAGAAGTTGGAAGAATATCTCTATGTACAAGTAAATATTGTTGTTCTTATTGATATTATGTATAAGTAAATTGACCCAGACAATACCCTGTTTATTAAGCATTCTTGTGTTAAAGAAAAACATACAAATAAAATTTATATTAAAAAACATTCCTGAAGTTACTGATACTTTCCTTCTTTCATTTTCTTCCTCCCTTGCTTTAGTTTGCTGGTGGAAGTGGTCCAGGAACAAGCCCTGGGAGAAGTGTGCCACCAGTAGCGCGATCTTCACCACAACATTCCTTATCTAATCCCTTACCTGTAAGTACCTAACAGGATAGAGTAATATCCTGAGAATTTTCTGAGAACATTTATAGTTCTGTTAATACATACATGTGATAGAAACAGTGCAGATCTTCTATAATTATATAGTAGAATCTCTTTGTCTTTGTTTCCTGTCCTTCTATGTTAATTCTTAGTTTTCATTATCTGTATAACCCAATTCTGGATAGGTTTTAATTAAGATCCACTTCAGGTAGCTAAATCATATAATACAAGCAGTCCTTTAAGTCAGTGGCCCCCAACCTTTTTTGTCCACGGCCTGGTACCAGCATCGGCATCACAAAATGATCCGCGGCCCGGTACCGGCATCAGCACGCATGGCAAGGCGAGCCAAGCAACCGGCCAGCCAGCCGTCCCCCGCTTCTCCCCGCCACCTTCAACTCCTCCTTTGTACCTTTGTCGATGGGCTTCGGGGCGGCTTCGGGACGGTCGCTCATCTCGCCTTGCCTTGGGTGCTGAAAGAATCCTCGCGCCTTAGTTTTGTTCAAAGCCTCCCCCCCCTTCGATGAAACTAAGGCGCGAGGATTCCTTCAGGACCCAAACGCTGCTTTCCAACCGGAAAAGCTCACCGGAAGCACTTTCTCATCAAAACAAGATGGCGGCGCCCAGCAAACCGGCAGCCCGGTAGAAAATGTTCCACGGACCGGTACCAGTCCGCGGCCCGGTGGTTGGGGCCCCCTGCTTTAAGTGTGTGTAAATATTAAAGCTACAATCTAATACAAATTCATATGTTGGTTTGTTGTAAATTGACTCATGTTGAAAGAAATTAAAAGGAAGATAATTGGCTGTAAAGTTGACTTTTGATAGACTTATCATTCTGTCTCTATTATGAAATATACGTAGTCTGTCTTCCTTAAAAAGATTAATCTTGGAAGTATGACTAGCAAGTGTTTTCATAGTTTATTCAAATAAGTAAATTGAAGAACATTTATCGCCATCACATTTTAAGCAAAATGTTTCAACTTGGAGGAATATAGTACACAGATATATATGCAAAAATACTCTTTCCTATATATGCATGGTCATAGTTAACAGCTCTGTTCTGAAGTTTCATATTGCCGCTACCCTTTGTGATTGTCACATTTTTTGTAACCATTTCCTATATCTGCCTCTCAAGTAGAAGGTGCCATTGGCAGATTTTTCTCAATATTCTGTTTAAACACATGTTTGTTTTTCTCAGAGTCCAGGATGTGGCCCTTTACTAAGCCTATTACTATAAGAAAAAAAAAATGAGGGGATGGTATTTGTGAATGCTTGTGTAAACATTTTTTTATCTAAATCCATTATCATATGATCTTTATCAAGTCCTGAGAGAAAGCTTGAGTCCAGTAATTGATCCTAAGGATAGAGAGGCAGTGGAGCCTAAGAGTATTTGTTTACTCTGTGTGTGAGTGTATGCATTCATGTGCACATGTCTGCCTACTGTCTTTGGCTTTTATTACTACAAGGAAGCCAAAAATATACCAGTATTTTAAAAATCAGTTTGTTCTTGTGGATAAAAAATGGCCAATTCTAAGCTTCTGAAGAAAAGGTACAAGATAAATCTAACAAATACATTCCAAATGGAGGATTTTAATGAAAAATAAGAGTATAGTGCATTAGAGTCAATAAGAATAGTTAACCTTTTAGTATCTGCAAGGTGGGGGGGATCGCTTTATATTTTTAAATCAAGGCTCCATGGCGAATAAGAATAGATGGTAATACCATGAGAAAGAAGAGACTCCTCTCCCCTAGTGTCCAGTAATTTAGAAGTTTTGATTCAAATTTATGGGGCCTTCTGTGGATTTAATGCACTTATTTTCTTGATTTGTTTTAACATAACAAAATCACACAACTAGCAATAGACTTACTTGCAATCTGGTTTTGTTAATTCTAGGGGATTCCTGGGACTTCAGAAATGAAGAATGTATTCAAATGGTATCTCATGAACCTAGGCTCCTACTTCTCAAACATGGAACACTAAAATTTATATTCTATTAAAAAAACCTCTGATCTCATTTCAATTTGTTAAGAAAAAATGCGGAGAGCACCATGATTGCTTGTTTTAGATCAGGGGTGTCAAACTCAAGGCCTGGGGGCCAGATGTGGCCCATGAAGTGCTTAGATCTGGCCCGCAGGGCATCCCTGGAAATAGGACTGGCCAGTGGGAACTGAACTCGCAAGGGCTGCGCACGACTCTCCTGAGCTCTGTTTTTGCTGGCAGAGGGTTGCAGGAGGCCATCCCAGCTGTAAACTGAGCTCGCGAGGGCTGTGCATGGTCCTTTCAAGCTCTGTTTTTGCTGGCAGAGAGGTTGCAGAAGGCTGTTGCAGCCGAAAACTGAGCTCAGAAGCCTGTTTTCACTGGCAGAGTACTTGAGTCACCACAGGTGCCCCCAACACAAGTGACATCATGCTGTCCATGTCCACTCTGGCCATGCTCACCAGCCCCCCGAAGTCAAATACAACCCTGATGTGGCCCTCAATGAAATTGAGTTTGATACTCCTGCTTTAGATGTATCTTTCTCTCTGAAAAAAAAAAAAACATTTTACTAGCTTTGTGTCCAAACTGCTGCATGGCTCAGTTCTATAACTGTTTCCACATAACCTTTTTTTCTGATGATTTTCTTTAATGTATACAGCGACGAATGGAGCAGCCACTTTACGGAGTAGACGGTAGTGCAGCCAAGGAAGCACCAGAGGAGCATTCTGCTGTCCCAACTCTGGTATCGACAATGATGGCAAAACAGCGGCTAGAAGGCGAGCCACTGGCACAGAGGGGTACAAGCCTCTGTTTTCCATTTGCTTCGGTGAGCAAGGCTTAATGACCAAAGTTGAGGTGGAATGGGACAATCATGACCTATTTCCCATGGGACAACTCACCACGGGATAAGTCACTACGGAGCAATTTAAGAATTATTTAAGATAAAAATTATTTTAATTTTTGCCATTCACATTTCATTCTGTCCCTTCTTTTGCACCCTTTCTTTAATGATTCTATTCCACCATTTTTTTTTATATTAATGTAATTTTCATCCCACAGTGAGTTGTCCTATGGCAAATTGGCCATAGCGAGTTTTTCTGCAAAGAGTTGGCCATGTTGATGAGTTGTCATAGACCCCTCAAGGAGGACTAAATGGATCTTGTGTGGTTAGACTATGTAGTTTCCACTGCTGCAATAGAATCTATTTTCTTTCTTAAAATTTTGGTTCCTGATTGCTGCAGTTCATAACAGTATAATAAAATAATAATAATCCCTCAACATAGAATTATTTTGGAATTATTGTTTATTTAGGTATCTACTTTTTGACAAAGATATATTTCTTTCTGCTGTAATGTTCATCTCTCATCTGCATGTTCCTGCATTTGCATAGTTTTTATGTTTCCATGATGATAAAGTAGTACGTCAAAGGTTCAAAAGCTGAATTTCCCAATGTATTAAAATTATATATTTTGTAGGAATTTTAGATGTTGGAAGTAATGATAAGCTATAGTGTAATTCATTATTATAAACAAGTTGTTTGGAAGATGAATCAAAATTGTTTCTATAAAAGTATGGAATGTTAATTTGGGGCTATTCAAGTTAATTTAGAGGCCAACCATTTCTTATCTCAAAAAAAATATTTCTTATCAATCAACCAGCTATTACTTTTCTGCAATGCTTTTCAAATTCTGTCTTGATAGAAGGTATATACGCAAGAGAAAGGGACCTTCATCTACAAGAACAAATTTAATTTTAGAGTTTGCTATTTAACTCATTGTCACAGAAGCTAGCTGTCAGACTAAAAAAATATAATAATAATAAATTAAAATTATTTGAACGATTTCAGTGAAAACAATGCAATTTATATTATTTTTGTGAACAGAAAAACTTGAATTTTGATAAAGACAAGAGTTATAATCCAGGATGAATCATGTTTTACACAGAAGTTTTAAAAATATTCCTGATTTTATTAGATTTTCTTTGGGTGCAGAACTAGAAAAAAAAACTGAGTATGCAACTTGTTGCCTCTTAAGGTTGACCACATACAGCTATTTAGCTTAAAAGGTTTTTCTTTCAAATAACAGTGAGGAAGAATGTGTTTTGTAAAATACTATACAACTTACGTGTTGCTTCTCTTCTTACAGAGCCAGCAAGGCAGTCCCTCATCTGCAGTTTCAGGAAACACAGAGCATTCCTGCAGTTCTCAAAAACAGATTTCTGTCCAGTACAAACAGACACAGGTACAAGACAAATGAATAACATAGTACAAAGCTATACCTGATTAAAATCAAATATATGTCAATTTGAGAGATAAATTGAAATATATTCTTGTTTCTCTTTAGATCATATAAATCTTTCACCTTTTACTAGAAAAAAATTGAAACTTATGATCTAAGGACAGAATACGTCCACAAGAAACTTAAAACTTAGTTGTGATCATTCCATCTAAGACTGTTTTAGCTTTAGTGGCTGTCTTGAAGTAAAATAGTCTCCATTGAATAACAAATTTCAGAATAATTTTACTGTTGTGCCTGCCTCAACTTCCAGCTTTTATCTTGTTCTTTAATCAACACTTTTTTCCACTTTGTCAAATGGGTATTCAGTTCATATTTTGGCTAAAGATTTTCTCACTCTTTAGTATATATGATATATTTCTACTTAATATAGGTTTCTTTTTTTAAAGGATTCATTTGCCTGCATCAGGACAATATTGGAATATCTTTCTTTGAAAATTTATGCCATCTAGGAAGTTTCTTTCATTTTTGTTGTTGATTGCTTTACAGCTATAACTTTAAATACAAATTCATGCAAGCCCCATTATAGCCTTATATAGCTGAGGATATGCAAAGCACATTTTGTAGTCAATGTATTTTAGGCAACCTAGCTTGCCTTTTTCAGAATATTTAAAAATCATCTGCTTTATAAGTGAAAGCCTGGGTCCTATACATTGTTTGCAGCTTTACGCCTTTTTACAAGGTTAGAACTAGTATTAAACTTCTTTGTTGCTCTACTTTATTTCTTTAGATCTTTCATTTGTTTGTTACACTATGTTATATAGGTTATGCTATGTTATTTTTGTTTAAAATATCTATTATTCCCTTCTTCCCCTCCTTTTTCCTCTGTCTGAGACATCTAGCTATTGGAAGCATTCACATCCCAAATGTCTAAAGTATATCCCTCCATCACTATTTTAATGAACACTAATATTGTTTTTTTGAACATAGTAATTGTGAGCTTACCTCAGCCATTTTTCTATAAAAGAAAAGAACTTCATATGCTGATACTTATTGCTACGTATGCAAAAATAAAGATGCAAATCCCTGTTCAACTACACTTGGGTTAGCTAGGTTGAAGAAAATTATTACAGTAATCATGTAGAGTAATCTAGATATGCTGTGCATACTGCTACCTGTAGGGCTTCCAATGTCATTTGCAGTAATCAAGTCTCAAAATATTATCAGCTTGCCAAGTTTTCAAGGGCTACTATTTTATTTATAAATTTCTCAAAACCATGCAAGTGTGATGGGCAGTATAGAAATTTTATAAATAAAATATTATGAACCTATAGTAGGTTTTGGCTGAATGAGGAAGTAATTGGGGAATCTTGGTCTTCAAGATGGTGATACTTTTACTGCAGCATTTTCCTATGCATTATGACTCTTCTCTAATCCAAATCTAATGTGCTCTTATGTAAAATGCATAGGGAAACTGAAGACTGTGTTCATAGGCAAATTATAGACACTGTCATAATTCCATTGGTTTTAAAGCTATAGAACCCCTCTTTTATGGATTGGATCATCTGGGAGATTATTTAATTCCCTTTATTTCACAAATGTTGATAAGTTTGTGGAAATCAAGAACATAATGCCTGTGAGGCCTGGTTATAGGTTTCTTTCCTTGGTTTATTTATCAATCTTGAAATAGATTGTTTTCTCAGCCTTGTTATACATTCAGTAATTGGAGCAGGGCTGCATAGAAATACCATAAATAAATCTGGGAAAATTCAAATTCAACCCATTTCTTTCCAATAGACCAGAGAAGGATTTTTTTTAAACAAAGTTGGGAAGTCCAGGCTTAGTCATATTTTTCATCAGACAATAATCTGATGAAACAATTAACAATAATTGTCCTGACTAATTGTAATTCCAACCCTTGGTTATGTTGTTTTACACAACAGAAAAATAACACATTTGACTACTTTGTAAATCATTTCTTAAGAACTTATTTTTTCCTTCCCAAGTCTGATCTTACAATGGAGAAATTATCTGCGTTAGAAAACAGTAAGAACTCTGATCTGGAGAAAAAAGAAGGCAGAATAGATGATTTATTAAGGGTAAGTAGTTGTAATTGTACATCCTATATTCAAATTTCAAGCCATAGAATCTATATAATATAAATACAGGCAAGAGATTAAGAGTATCATTTAATAGTTATATAAATGGGCTGTCATGGAGAAAATCTAAGCAATTGCTAAGGGCTGACATTAATGACATATAATCAATTATATGGAAGGTCCTTCATAAGGAAATTGCATTCTCTCTTGATAAATACATATCTCTAGATTCATTCAAGAATTTTACAATCTTAATATTCAAACAACCCTCCTTTTTACACTTCCTCTACAAAGTTTTTAATTTGAAAGTCCTATGAAAATGTCTAGAAAGATAGTCATATTAATTTATTGCATTGAAAAATACTAAAATAGCTTGTGACACTTAATAAAAAATAAAAATAAAATAAAAATAAAATCATTAAATGGATTGTGTTCTGATCATTCTTTTGTAATAATTAGTTTTAACATTAAAGTATTTTCCTGGAAGAAACACTCAAATCCTAATAGATAGATAGATGGATAGATGGATGGATAGATAGATAGATAGATAGATAGATAGATAGATAGATAGATAGATAGATAGATAGATAGATAGATTTTCTTAAGTTTTCGCGGGTACTCACATGTATGGTATTCAGCTTTGTTCGGGTATTTTCCCATGTCATTATAGTTGTGCTGTTAAAGTTGTAGCAATGTTTCGGCAGAATCTCATCTGCCATCATCAGGCTTCTGTATTGTATACAGAATACAGAAGCCTGATTATGGCAGATGGGATTCTGCCGAAACGTTGCTAACAACTTTAAGAGCACAACTATAATGACATGGGAAAATACCCGAACAAAGCTGAATACCATTTATATGTGTGTGTGTGTGTGTGTGTTTTATAATTGAACAATTTTGATGAAACAATAATTTATGTGTTCCAAATAGTTGAGCAATCTGAAATTTTATTGTCTTCTGTATATTCCTAAATACCATATAGAGCATTTTAACTTCAATTTAGTAGTTTCAGATGGAACTGGTAGGAAAAGTCAGTTTTTCAACTGCCTTTTTGTGTGGGAAAATTCTCACATCTATCAAGTTCACAAACAAAGTGACTGGAATAGCTTAGAGCTCTTACAAAATTCAGATCTGGTTGGTTCTTTCTTTTTTTTCCTTCCTTCCTTCCTTCCTTCCTTCCTTCCTTCCTTCCTTCCTTCCTTCCTTCCTTCCTTCCTTCCTTTCTTTCTTTCTTTCTTTCTTTCTTTCTTTCTTTCTTTCTTTCTTTCTTTCTAAATAATTTCTTTTCTTAATTTCCATCTTTTCTATATTCTCCCTCACTCCAATATGCACATGTTCCCTGCTGGAGAAATTTAAGAATAGTCTGTTTTCTCCATTTTGAATTATCAATTTAGGACAATTCTCAATAATTTCTCAAGGGGAACACATATTTCTCTTTCAAGCTATTGTTTTCCTCCAGTTTCTGAGAGAAATTTATCTTTCAACAAGGAATATTCCATATTGCTAGCTCCAGCCTTAGAGTAGAAGTCAACAGTGATAAGAGTGGTTGCCTGCAAGATGTTTTCTCAATCCTTGTTCCCATTATAGGACAAGAGGGATTATATAGCATACAAAAGAGATCTATTTGAAATATTTGTTAGCTTAGAAAGATAGGCGGAATCATCCATTTCTGAAGGAAACTAATAAAGCTTTCCGAAAAAGAGATGGAATCCTCTCCTCCTATTATCTTTTCCTAACATTTTTCTCATATAGTATTATACTACAGTTTTCCTAGGACTAGGAAAATATATGAAATTTCAGATCTCCGGATACCTATACACCATTCAAGTTTCTTGCATTCCCTTCCCAGAAACTTCTGTGGATGTTTTAAAAGCAGAACTGCGTCAACCATTAAACCCACAAAAATGTTATTTGCTTCTTTCCTTCCTTTATGGCCCCAAGTGTTTATTTCTCTTATAACCTCAAACAAATTCAAAAAGTATTAAAATCCAGGTATTTTCATTCTAGGAGAAATCAAGCATAGAAGTTTTAAAAAAAAACCAACAAACTAAATTTCTTTCTGAGTATGATGCTAGGCAGCCAATGGACAACAGCTCATAGTGCTTAAATGGCTGTGGTTTAGTTCAGAGAACTGACTCAAAAAAAGATTTTTATGGCTTCTTTCTAAAATTCTATTACTGACTTCATAACAATTTTACTTAATCTCATAATCCAAAAAATAGCTCATATATTTTCAAATTAAAATTCCTTAAAGCCATTCAGCAACTTTTTGCCATTTTGCCATTGTATAAATTTTATCCATTTGCCATGGGTAAAATTTTTAGAATGAAAACAACTGTACCGGGGGCAAGACAGATATAAATAAACAACATTGAATAAATTTATACATTGTCCTGGTCCAGTGCCTATGAAAAAATTCAGATTATTAAGGTCATTCTGAAGTCCAGCAGGTCAGGGCCATGTTGACCTTGGTGCAAGATAATATTTCAAAGGGCAGGCATGCCATCAGAATGGAAATGCTCAAATCATTCTGAATCAAAATAATTAAAGTAATTCATGAACTCTCTTATATCTGTAGTAGCATCATTCTTTGAAAATATTTTCTAGTTTGTATTGATTATCAAAGGCATATGTTTACATTCTAGTTCGATAGGAACACCTTTGGTACACTTTTACTATAAGTATTAACACTAATCGAGTCAGACATACATTGGACATGGAGGAAACATTTCTACATGTTTGGACAGCATTGCACTTAGGCAGCATCAGAACATAAATGCCCTTTTCAGATACCCTTTGTTTACTTGAAAAATCATGGGGTGATTGCAGAGCTACAGGGGACCTCTCTAGTTTAGTTCTACGTATTCTGATCAGAAAAGGGTACAGAAGTCGTTAAATGGAGCCAGGAGATCTTAGACTTTTCTCTTTCAAGCATCATAATATCTTGACAGCTGTAGATTGTTGGTCCATCAAGCATCCTTCATAGTTGATAATTTAGCGGAGAAAAAGAACTGGATTGCAGATTGGCATAGCAGGATATCTACTTAAGAATTCAAATAGCAAATAAGCCTTTGTAACATTTCCACAAATGATATATCAGTTTGGGCAGCTCATGTTTTTTAGAACCAGGAAATACAAACATTACCACATATATCAAGGTTCATATATAGCAAACTGAACTAGCTAGAAGCATTTGGATGTTACTACTCTTATGTCTTTCCACTTGACTTTTTGTGTTTGCGACTTTTGACTTTTTGGACAACAAAGCACAGATGATTCTTATAGCAACCTGTTGGCATAAATAGCTTTGATTTACTATGCAGGATTTGGTAGAAAAATTCAGTAAATTTGGGAAATGGTCTTCTGTCTCAAGATCCAATCTTTTATTCAGTATCTTGGTTCTTATCAGGTGAGACAGTGTTAGTTGCACTAAATATTATTTTAGGCAGTGCTTTTTTTCTCTCTCTTCCAAGTTTGAGGTAATTTTTATGTGGATTAAATCTTTCTAATGCCTTTCCCTAGGCATAATTTTAGCTGGATCTTTATGGTTCTAGTGCAGGGATGTCAGACTCCCGGCCTGTGGGCCGGATGTGTCATGTGCTGGCCATGCACAGTTTAGCAAAGTGGGGGAAAGTCCCAATATGTCACCTGATGCCATGTGATGACATGAGTTTGACACTCCTGTTCTAGTAGGTTCTGTCATTGAGTTTATGGTTAACTGATGAATCAAGTTACTAACACTCAACTGGTTATTACATTGACCAGAAGAGATTTAAAATTTGGGGCCTTAGCTTCAGTACATATCCTGAGTCCTTTTTTCTTATGAACAAAGTTTTCTGCTGGAGTTCTCTCTATTTGTCAAGGTCCATCCTAGTTTTAATGGTTCACATAGCTTGTATATAATATGCTTGAAGTCATATCTGGATAGAATATTGAACTTCAGGAAATGTGAACCATTGTAGTCTCACTGCCACAAAGCAAGGCAGTGGGGATTGGAGTACGAAGCAAGGCCGGTGCGGGGCATGGGTGGACAGCTACGCACCCCTCCATCTTACTTCATACTCCACCCCCTCACCCCCTCACTGCTCAGGTGGCTCCTGCCGCCCTCTGTGCCCCTGCCCCCCCGGCCACTGCCACCAGAAGCATAAATGCCCCGACTGAAGCAGGAATTGCTCTCTCTCTCTCTCTCTCTCTCTCTCTCTCTCTCTCTCTCTCTCTCTCTCACACACACACACACACACACACACACACACACAGAGTTTGGAGAGCCCCTCTCCTCTGTCTCGCTGCAGCGGCAGTTGCGGCATTTCAGTGCTTGGCTGGCAGGGTGCTCAGGTATGCAGGTGTGGGGCGTGAGCCGGTAGGTCCGAACCCCCCCACCTCCTCAGGTAGCTCCTGCCGCCCATGCCACTGCCACACCCACCCTGGTCACACCCACCCCAGCCACACCCACCCTGGCCACACCAAAGTCAACCACAATCCTGTGCGACCCTCTATGAAATTGAGTTTGATACCCCTGTCCTAGAAGAATAGCTGACTTTTGAGATAATTTTCCTGTCAAAAGTGGTATGTGAAATCAGCATTAACTTCAGTAGTTTATACTTTCTTCAAACTATATAATATTGGTAAATTAAGTTCAACAACAATATTTGGCTACTTTCTACAAAGTACAGTAAAACAGGAATATTGATCCCTAGTAGGCATCTCTTTGGTCCCCTGGTCTGATAGACTCTAAGATATAAAATGCTGTCTACGATACTGAAGAAAATGTGGAAATTTGAATTTCTGTATACTATAAAACATTTGTATCTCTATTCAAGCGGGCAAAACAATACATCATAGGGCAATGACTTTTTTGAACTCAGGTACCTCAAATGAGCTAATGTACAGAATGAGTCCAAAATCTGGGACCCATGACTCCCATGGGATTGAAATTTGGCAAATTTGTGGCTGTTTCAGTGCTGCTGCACTGCCACCAAAGGTTCAGTAGTCCCACCCTAACCCTCCAGAAGTAGAGTAGAGCAGCCCCTTCTTTAACTATCAGAAATCAGGTAGGGTGGTTCCCATCCTAGCCCTCTGAAGGCTGGATAGCCTTCTCATGCATACCAGTCCTGTCATTGGCTGTCAGAAGGTGATCAGCTGCAGTCAGGTTGGCAGGAAGTTAGAAGTTGTTCCCACTACATTTCCCCTCCTAGTTATTCTGTTTCTCTTTTAGAGGTAAGGAAATATCTCTGAAATGACCCAGTGGTTTATAGGTTGTCTAGAACATCTAAATTTGTTCTCTGAACCTCACAAAACCCACCTATTGTAGAATAAACTTTTAAAATGAGAAGGGATGTTGCATATTTATTTCTGCAATTTTAACATTTCAGTCTTTAAAAAAATCAAGCAATTAATGCTATTACTATGGAAGTGGAATAGCAAAGAAAGCATTCTTAGCTGACCTGGATCTTGTTTTTTTATTGTTACTCCAGTGTTGCTAATAATGTTTTCTAAATGTAAGTCTTCTGATTTCTAAAAGAAATAATAATGCTGGATTGAGAAGTTGCATTGATTCTCCATTCCAGGAGGAGCCAGGATGATTCCTGCCACTGGAGAGGCAGTGACAAATTGGACCTTTGGGTCGAAAATAGACTTGCTCTAGGAGATATGAATTCCCTCTTTGAGATTCAAACAATTTAAGTAAATGGTCAATCCAAAGTTATTGTGTGCACGAGAATGATTTTTGTTATATTTGATAACTGTGATAGTTTTAATTCTTTTCCTCATCTGTGCAAGATAATGAATTGTGATTAGTATAGGGTAATTTTTGTTTTCTTCACCTGCTTGATATTTTATTTTCAGGCAAACTGTGACTTAAGACGACAGATAGATGAACATCAGAAAATGCTTGAGAAATACAAAGAACGGTTAAATAGGTGTGTAACAATGAGCAAGAAGCTACTTGTAGAAAAGGTGAGTTACAACCAGCACAACTTGTTCTGAAGTTATATCCCAATAACTTGCATAATTAGGTAGCTTATTTGTTTCAGATAATAACTAGTAGTAGTAATAATAACTGTGTGTTTAACACATCCTGTGTTTCTCCAAAAATAAGACCCAGTCTTATTTTCTTTTTTGGATTGAAAATAAGCACTCTGGCTTATTTTCAGGGAGTTTTCAGGAGTGGAAACAGCTACTGCTGGCCCCGCTCTCTCTGTCCCACTGTCTACTTGCCCGCTTCAATGGGCCACATTCTCGACACGCCCTGATCTTCTTTGCACCAGACAGGAGCATCCCAGCAGGATGGCCGAGAGCAACACTACCAGGAGGGTAAAGAGCCCACATGAGGCCAGCAGCAGCATGGGCAACTGCTTACCCACTTTAAGATTTAGGGATTTCAACTCCCAGAAGTTCCCACAGCCCCCTCTTTTCCTGCTGATCACCTTTCCTTGTGCCGAAGTCTTCAGCTTTGCAATCCTGTGTAGGGAAGGCGGAGGCTTGCTCTGAAGCTGCGGCAGAGCATTGCACTAGGAGGCCTCCATGGGTAACACTGAGTTGCATGTCTTGCTCCAATGTGAGGGGTGCAGGCAGGGGATCAGTGGCCAGGGAGGATGGGGTTTGGAGTGCATAGGAGGAAGGGGCAATCTCCCTGTCCCTCCTCCAACCTGCTGCAGGGCCATCACAGAGCTTGCGCAGGCCAGCATGACCGTTGGTGAAGGGGGCCCTGACAGGCTGGTGATAGGGGAGGTGCTCCAGAGATCTGGGCTTAGTTGCCCCACGCCCGGCAGGAGCAGTGCAGACAGGAGGGCGATGGGACCCCGCAAGGTCAGCAGCAGGGAGAATGATTGGAAGCGGGCAGGATGAGGAAAACTCTTTCAGAAAGTGATCTGCAAGTGAAGGGTGGATTTTCCTGTCATTCGTTCTTTCAAACAGGAGCCCTGCACAGACACACATCCAAAAATGCCCTCTCCATGGCTTCGGAGTCTCCGGCCTTGCAATCTTGTGCAGGAAAGGCAGAGGTTTGCTCTGAAGCTGTGGCAGAGTGTTGCACCAGGAAACCTTGGCAGGCAACATTGAGTTTGCGCATCTTGCTCCAGCAAGAGGGGTGCAGGCCGAGGGCTTGGTGGCCAGGGAAGATGGGGTTTTGGGATGCAAAGGAGGAAGGGGCAATCTCCCCCTCCATCCTGCTGCAGGATTGCCATGGAGCTTACGTAGAGTAGTGTGACCACTGGTGAAGGGCCCTGGCAGGCTGATGGCAGGGGGATGCTTTGGCGATTGTGGATCTGGGCCAAATTGCCCCACGCCAGGCAGGAGCATCCCAGAAGCACTGCTGAGAACAGCACAGCCAGGAGGTTGAAGAGCCCCTGCGAGGCCAGCAGCATAGGTGCAGCAGGCCCAGCAGCTGGGCAGAGGTGGCAGGGAGAGCCGATTTCGAAGTGCCACATGGCCTTCTGCCTCAGCAGCCTGAGCATGACCCAAGCTCGAGGCCTGATGGAGCGTAAACTGTGGTTGCCGCCTGCTCCAGAGCCACAAGGTGAGCTGTAAATCAGCTACGAAGTTGCCTGGCACCATAGGCAGGACCAGGGCTGCAAGACTGTGCCAGAAACACCTCCAGATGTTCGGAGAGACAGAATGAAAGGCAGCTCCTGGCCCTCACTGGCTCAGCTGAACGGTGGCGCTGCGTTTAAAGGAGTGAGCCTCCATGAGGTGACCAGGGAAGGGCTGCCTCCTGTGTTGGCAGTCCACCCCCTTCATTTGGGCTTATTTTTGGGGTAGAGCTTATATTAGGCCCACCCCCCAAAAAAATCAGCCTAAGGCTTATTTTGGGGGTAGATCTTATTTTGGGGGAAAATACGGTAGTTGGATCATCAAATGTTTGGAGTCAACTGATATCGATCAAAAACATTAGAATGCTGAAAAAATAATGAAGCAATAGAATTTGTGGTAAATATTTAATGATTAAATAGTTGTGTTACAATGAGCACTGTCATTGTTATAAATATGCAGCATTTGTTAAGTGATCAAATCATCACATGATCTTGTGAATGCTGCAATAACTGCAGCTTCAAAGACAAGTCACAGGTCTCCTTTTTCAGATCCTCCATAATTTAACAAGTGATTGGTAGGTAAGGAGCACCTGTATGTTTTTTATGTAGAAATATAAAACTAGCCAGCCCTTTGAGAATCAACTTAGTGTTGTTTATGTTGATATCGGTTTTGATTGAGTAACAGTACAGTGATGTGAACTGCCCAGACTTGCATTTTTAAGATGGATGATCTTTCAAAGCATATATATTTTATATATATATAAAAATAGGGATACTTTGCAAAGCATTCAGATACCTTACTTTTTCCTTTACAGTCAAAACAGGAAAAGATGGCTTGTCGAGATAAGAGTATGCAAGATCGCTTGCGATTAGGTCACTTTGCTACAGTCCGGCATGGAGCCTCTTACACAGAGCAATGGACAGATGGCTATGCTTTCCAAAATTTAATCAAGTATGTATTTTTCTTGTTCTGCTTTCTCCAGAAGCAGAAAAGATTACTGGTGATTTACACAGTGGGGTTTTTTGTATATTAATCCATATATAACTTAAATATTTGTGATTACTGTTCTCTTTTAAATAAAAGTTTGCACGAAATCAGGAAAGGAGAGTACCATTTACTGAAACAAAAATATATCTCCACAAACTATTTATAAAATAGTAAATGAACAACAATCTTATAATATAGTACAGGTAGTCCTCAACTTACAACCACAATTAAGCCCAAAATTTGTGTTGTTAAAGTAAGAAATTTGTTAAGTGAGTTTTGCATCATTTTATGACTTCTTGCCACATTTGTTAAGTGAATCATTGCAGTTGTTAAATTAATAACAGGATTGTTAAGTGAATTTGGTTTCCCCATTGACTTTGCTCACAAGCAGGTTGCAAAAGGGGTCACGTGATTCTGGAACACCATAGCCATCATAAATGTGAGTCAGTTTTCAAGCATCTGAACGTAAATCACCTTATCATGGGGATGCTGCACCCATCATAAGTGTGAAAAATGGTCATGTCACTTTCTGTCATTGTAACTTCAGTAGTCATTAAGCGACTTAATTTTGCATTTTCCCCACTACTCTTCTTGGCAGAGCTCCTCTAGTTCAACAATATGATAAGCAAAGACTTTATTGGGCTGGTGGACCATTTTGTTTCCCTAATCCTCAAATACCTTATCTCAAAAGAGAAAAGAAATGACTAGGTTTCTTAATAATCATGCATAAAATAACTGGTTTCTTATCTGGTGTGCAAGACATAAACGAAATAGAAAGGTACATATATCCATCTAAGTTGAACTCAACAACTGATAACAAGGCTAAAAATATTTTTTCCACAGAGGAAATTAAGGCAGTTTTCGTGCCACCTAAACATTAGCCTTTTCATTTGAAAACTGTCTGCAACTATAAACGCTTTTGATATTTAAAACAAAGGTCCTTATAATTATTTCTTAGAAACTGGGTTTACCAGTCAATCTGTTGCTTGATAATAGCAAGCTACATTTCCAAAGCCCAAACTTTAAGCTATTTAGTCTTCTAAGGTTTACTAAAAATGTACTGTTCGGGTGTGCCTACCAAAAGATGTTGAAGACCAACCATATATTGGCATATATTATGTTACGTTCTCTAATTATGTTCATGTTCTACTTTTATTTAGGCAGCAAGAAAGGATAAATTCCCAAAGGGAAGAAATAGAAAGGCAACGGAAAATGTTAGCAAAACGAAAACCACCTGCCATGGGCCAGGCTCCTCCATCTACCAATGAGCAAAAGCAGCGCAAAAACAAAACCAATGGATCAGAAAATGAGACGTAGGTGACACAAGCATTTCAGAATCCTTTCTGGGGCTGTCAAATGGAAGAAACTTCCTAGGTTTTACTCAAGTAGGCCTCCTCAGATTCTGTGTTTGTGATGAAGTTTCTCTCCACAAAAAGATTCGTTTTTGGCCATATTTGACATTTGAATAGTAGGCCATGGCCTGCTTTCCAAAAACTAATCAGATGCGATGACCCGGGGTGTGGTACAAAGGCAACACAGTCAGATAATAAGTAGGAATCCCTTTATTAGCTCCAACTTTGCCCCCAATGTTCCTGGTTACCTTCTGGTCTGGAGAAAAACTCTCACAGGAACAGCCTCTGGCTGCAGAGATTCAAGTCCAAAATATTGTCAACAGAAACTTTATAAATCCAATCAAGGCAAGATGAGGTAATTATTCCAGCAGGGCAAGATAAGGTATTCCAGAAGTGAAGGAACGGCAGTAAATCAACCCAGTTAGGAGGATGCCAGGAACACAGATAACCACAGTCAACATGATAATCTCATGTTTGTTCCCAGCAAATGCCACTCTCAGCTGTTCCTCCTTTAAACTCTCTTCCCAGGTATGCCTAATGAAGGGAATCAGGGCCCTTTCCTCCCCCATAAGCCATGCAACCCACGTTGCTCTCTTCTCCTTCTCTCTTCTCCCTGCATGCCCTAGGATGAAGAGGCGGTGGGCCTGGGTCTTCCTCTGAACTCCCTTTCCCTTGTTCTACCTGTCCCCTGCTCTGCCCAGCTGGACTTTGCCTTTCCCCAGTTTCCTCCACAGCCAACGGAGCCACACTCCTGCTCCCTGTCAGCTGTTCGTCTTCCTCCTTGGATTCAGACTCTGACAGGGGCATGAATCAGACTTGGTACAAAAAGTGGATGGACTCATTTCAACCAGTAGGTTGAATTGATGGGCTAATTTATTATTCTTTATGAATGTAATGATTTTGTCCTATAACTAACAAAAGTAGACTTTGTTAATAACCTTTACTGGACTCCAAAGATTGCCTATGGCATCTGAATATATTTATCTGTATAGATCATCTTTCTTGGTATAAGACACTTCTAATTTTTGAACCACTTATTTTATACATGTACAGGTTAACATTAGCAGAATATCATGAACAAGAGGAAATATTTAAACTCCGACTAGGTCATCTTAAAAAGGTAAAAAGATATGTTATAGCTTCAAGTATGCATGGAATTATGTTTTTGACTTCCTACTTGTTCTACTTCTTGGTTATGTTTCTTTATTGATTTATGTTTGTTTATTCTCTATTTGAGATGGAGATCCTTCTGTGAAATTCTATGTCTCAAACTTTATAGCTATATGTTTCTAAACACCAGAAATACTAGCTCTTATACAAGTGGTTTTCAAAAAAATTAGGAAGTATTTTACAGAACCGTGTCCGTGAGTCTGTTTTAGCATAATATGAAGAATTTTGGAAGATTCTTTAATTCAGAAGGTCATTTTATAAGGAATATTGGCAGATTCTTAGCTCTCACTGCACACTTGCATGAACCAAAGCTTTATTCTAAAGCAATAAATAAAATTACATGCATTTCTAAATAAAACTAACGATGGACATTTTTAACAGAATAGTAAGAGTTGAAAGAGACCTTGAAAATCTTCTAGTCTAACCCCCTCAAACAGGAAACCTTTTGCCATTTCAGGCAAATGGTTGTCCAGTCTTTTCTTAAAAACCTCCAGTGTTGGAGCACCCTCAACTTCTGGAAGCAAATTGTTCCACTGATTAATTTTCCTAACTTTTTTTTAAGAAGAATTGTTTGCCATCATTGATCCTCTATTTTTAGGAACTTCTATCATTGAAGAATCATTTTAAAATGGCTGATAATAAATAAATCAACTGCTTTTCTCAGTAATGAAAGAAGAAAGAAACCTCTTGGGGTTTTTTTTTTCAGTGTTACAGTTTTAATACAATATCAGGAAACAAAAGATTTTTCTGCTTCTCTGATAATTTTATATTGTATATTATTTGTATTGTGTTCACAAAAGACTAATCCCCTAAGTAATTCTACTTTGTTGTAGTAAAGTATCTGGGGATTTTTAGATAGATGGTAAATATAGGTAGATACAGTATGCAGACAAAACATAGATTTCTCACAATGTTAGTAAAATAGAATGGAATAACAGAGTTGGAAGGGACCTTGAAGGTCTTCTAGTCCAACCTCCTGCCTAGGCAGGAAACCCTATACCACTTCAGACAAATGATTATCCAACATCTTTTTTAAAACTTCCTGTGTTGGAGCATTCACAACTTCTGGAGGCAAGGTGTTCCACTGATTAATTGCTTCAACTGTCAGGAAATTTCTCCTTAGTTCTAAGTTGCTTCTCTCCTTGATTAGTTTCCACCCATTGCTTCTTGTCCTGCCCTCAGGTGCTTTGGAGAATAGCTTGACTCCCTCTTCTTTGTGGAGCCCCTGAGATATTGGAACACTGCTATCATGTCTCCCCTAGTCCTTCTTTTCATTAGACTAGACATACCCAATTCCATCAACCTTTCTTTATATGTTTTAGCCTCCAGTTCCCTAATCATCTTTGTTGCTCTTCTCTGCACTCTTTCTAGAGTCTCAACTTTTTTTTTTTAACATTGTGGCGACCAAAACTGAATGCAGTATTCCAAGTGTGGCCTTACCAAGGCATTATAAAGTGGTATTAACACTTCACATGATCTTGAATCTATTCCTCTGTTTATGCAGCCTAGAACTGTGTTGGCTTTTTTGGAGCTGCTGCATACTGCTGGCTCATATTTAAAAGGTTGTCCACTAGGACTCCAAGATCCCTCTCACAGTTACTACTATTGAGTAAGATACCACATATATTGTACCTGTGCGTTTGATTTTTCTTGCCTAAATGTAGAACCTTACTTTTTTCAGCACTGAATTTCATTTTGTTAGATAACACCCAATGTTCAAGTCTGTCAAGATCCTTCTGTATCTTAAGCCTATCTTCTGGAGTGTTGCTATTCCTGCCAGCTTGATGTTGTCTGCAAATTTGATGAGTTCCCCATCTATCCCCTTGTCCAAATCATTGATGAAGATGTTGAAGAGTACTGGGCCTAAAACAGAGCCTTGGGGTATCCCTCCATTTAGATGCAGTTCCATTGAGGCCTACTCATTGAGTGCCGTTGGTCAGCCAGTTACAGACAGTATCATTTGGTACTGATACTGTCTAATCCACATTTTTCTACTTTATCTAGTAGTAGGTTATAGTCTATTTATCAAATGCCTTACTGAAGTCCAAGTAAATTATATCAACAGCATTCCTCTGGTCAACTAATTTTGTCATCTTGTCAAAGAATGCAATAAGATTATCTGGCATGATCTGTTTTTAACAAACCCATGTTGGTTTTTTGTTATTACTTTGTTTGCTTCTAGGTGTTCGCTAATTCATCGCTTGATTATCTTTTCCAGAAACTTCCCTGGTATTGAGGTCAGGCTGATAAGTCTGTAGTTTCCTGGATTTTTTTCCCTTTTTTGATGATGGGAACTATATCAGCTCTTTTCCAGTCCTCTGGGAGTTCCCCGGTGCTCCAGGATCTTTGAAAGATATAGTTCAGTGGTTCTGAGATCACGTCTGCCAGTTCCTTCAGAACCTTGGGGTGTAATCCATCCAGTCTTGGTGATTTGAACTCATATAGGGTAGACAGGTGTTCACTTACCATTTTCTTTGCTCTTTTAACTTGTGTTCCTAATCTGCTTTTTTTTGTGGTGCTGTTTTTGATAGGTTGGATTGTTTTTCCCTTTGTGTAAAGACAGATGCAAAAAAAGAGCTAAGTAGCTCTGCTTTCTCTTTGTTGCTTATCACCTTCCTGCCACTTTCTCCCAGCAATGGACCAATTGCTTCCTTGACTTTTTTCTTGTTTTTAACATGTTGGAAGAAGCTTTTTTGTTATTTTTTACTTTTGTGGAATCCTTTGTTCATTATGAACCTTAGCTTTCCTCACTTATCTTTACAGGCTCCGGCTGATTGTTGATATTCTGCCTTAGTTATTTGCCCCTCTTTCCACTTTTTATACTTGCCCTTTTTGTCTTTCAATTTGTCAGAGAGTTCTTTATGCAGCCATGATGGTTTCTTTTGAGAGCTGTTATTTTTCTTTTTCATTGGTATTGTGCTAGATTGGATTTTTATAATCTCACTTTTCAAAATTTCCCAAACTTTTTTCCCCTTGAGGATTCTCATCCATGGAATCCTTCCCAAGCTCTCTCTAAGTTTATTGAAATTAGCTCTCTTAAAGTCCAAGACTCTAGTTTGACTTCGTTCTACTACTTGTGCTTGCATAATGTTGAATTTCAATATTGCATGATCACTTGTCCCCCAAAGTTCCTGTATCTTCAACACTTTCTATCATTTCATCTCTTCATAGTATTTGAGCTCACCCATTAAAAATAAATACTGAAATTTTAACATAAATGAAAGTACTTTTTTAGAAAATGGATTATTTAAATAATTTTGAATGAAATTGATCAAACATAAGAGTAGAATAAGCTATCAGTTATTACTAATCTTGATGGCTGTTTATTACCTTTGGAAATACAATCAGCATATCTCAGAAAACTAATAGAGTTGTTGAATTTTTGAACCTACTTTTTTATAATAATCTTGTAAAAAGTATGTTTTGTGATAAATTCATCTAAGAAAAATTAGAGTAAGATCTTTTACAAAAGAAAATGGAAAAAGAAGAAAGACAACAAATGCATTCCCCCCATTTATAATATCAGAACAAAAAACATTACATGAATGCGCTCTGTAAGCTCTGTGCAAGTTTACACAAGGAGTTAGGAAATAATAACATGTTATTCCTTGCAACATTGCAGCAAATGATAAAGAAGGGAGTGAGCATTAGCAAAAGGATCTCTCCTTTTGGAAAGGACACAAAAAAGTTGCAAGTGAAAATATAGAGATGTCAGAATAGCTCAGTAAAACAAAAACCATGCAAAATTCAATATCTCCTTCTAAAAACTTTCTGTCATCTAAACAGTTCAAACACTTTTCAAGCCAGACAATTTTGATTCACAATACTTCTGTCTATGGATTATTAGTATATCTTAGGATGTTTTAGCCAGTAATTTGCAGGCCACTGTGAAGTCCAATGTTTACAAACATTCTCATGTCTTTTCATTTACTTTTTACATATCATGACATCTTTCCCTGTGATTGGGAAATACTGTGTAAAGGAAAGCCATTGTGCAGAAATCCTCATCAGGCAAATTTCGTTTAAAATCCTCAGTACAGCAGTTTACAGTACAGTAAAGTGATCTTCCTCTTTGTGCAGGAAGAAGCTGAGATTCAAGCAGAATTAGAGCGATTAGAACGGGTTAGAAATCTGCATATCAGGGAATTGAAAAGGATACATAATGAAGATAATTCACAGTGAGTATCGGCCATAAGGGAGAAGCAAATTACAACCTTGCGAAAGATGACTAGCTTGTTAAAATACACTAGAAATGTTTGCTTGGAATTCAGAATTAATATTTATTAAATGAATATAATCTGACTCCTAGCTACTTTGGGTAGCATACTCTTCCAAGTGACAATGTAAACAAGAAAACAAAGATAAAAGAAAACAGGAAAAATGTGTTTGTGATGGGCAGTGCAAGACTATCAGAGAAAGTTTGGCTGTGTCAACAAATCTAGTGAAATAGATTGCCAATTTATTTGCATACTCAAACCTTTCTATTATAGGCAGAGAGCTTCAATTTATCAAATCACTTCCTTTTTGGATGATTTGCTTAAGACTATGTACTAACGATTATAAGAATAAAGTCTCCTGTTCTTTCCCCATTAGGTTTAAAGACCACCCAACACTAAATGATAGGTATTTGTTGTTACATCTCCTAGGCAGAGGAGGATTTAGTGAAGTATATAAGGTAAGTTAGATCACCTTTCTATTTTATTTAATTAAATGGTGTAGACATTTAGCATTTATTAATCGAATGTCTTAGTTATTTAAACTTCAATCTTTGTGTTCTAAGGAGTCTGTCAATCTAAGTAAACTTATTTGGCCTGAGAAGTCAGTAGGTTCAAGTTAACAAAAGTTACCTCTGTATGCTCATTACAATTAAGTGAATTTTCTTGGTTTTATTTTAGCATTGTCATTTCATACTCACTTACCAAATTTGGCACCATGTTAAAATTTATTTTAGCATGTCAATCAGAATAGTGTAGCAGAATAACAGAATTGGAAGGGACCTTAGAGATCTTCTAGTTCAACTCCCTGCTCAAGCAGGAAATTGTATACCATTTCAGACAAATGGTTGTCCGGTCTCTTAAAAACCTCCAGTGTTGGAGCACCCATAACTTCTGGAGACAAATTGTTCCACTGATTAATTGTTCTGTCAAGAAATTCCTCCTTAGTTCTAGAGCTTCTCTCCTTGATTAGTTTCCGTCCATTGCTTCTTGTGCTTTGGAAAATAGGTTGACCCCCTTTTCTTTGTGGCAGCCCCTGAGATATTAGAACACTGCTATCATATCCTCTAGTCCTTCTTTCCATTAAACTGTACATAATTTAAATCATCTTTAGAAGATTTTATAGAAGTATTTACTAATTCTATATTCCCCATAGTGGGACTTTTAAAAAAACTCATGAAGTTCACTCACAGTTTCCATAGATTGCAAAGCTTGCCAAAACAGGAATTATTTTTCTTATTAATATAATATAATGTATAACCTTTGCAGATCCTGGAAAAAGATTCATCACTCTGGAAGCTTAATATCAGTAACTTTTTCAGTTGATCATACCTTAATAATACCAATTTTCAATTGTTGAATTATTTAGAAAATTACTTTGTTAAATTATGATTCATGTAGTTGGCAGAAGGAACATATAATGAATTCCTTTTAATAATCCCATTTCTGGAGGACATTCTATTTTTTGTTTAATTATAATTCTCCTTTACACACTTTCTTCCAGAAAGACATTTTTTTCATATAAAAAAGATGTGCCTTTCTTTTGACAAACGCTCCAACATTTTATTGAATAGCTGAGAGATGTTTAAGTTATTGTATAATGTATTTACTTCCATTGCAACTGTGATAACTGTACAGAAGCTGATAAAAAGCCTGAGTTCCATAGTGTTTGCTATTTTGCATCTTCAATTTCTATGGGGGTCACAATAATGATGATGATGATGATGATAAGCCAGAGTCCAAGAAAAAGAACTGGAAAAAAATCACGGAATATCAGGACCTGGCCACCGAAACTACATGATACTGCACGGTTATGGATGAAACATGTAGCAGTAATACCCATTGTCATCAGGGCACTTGGTACCATGTCCAATAGTTTTACAAAACACATCAAGAAATTGCAGCTTCCTGCAATAACACCAGTGGAACTGCTAAAAACTGCGCTACTCAGAACATCATATATTTTAAGAAGATACTTGGTTGATATCTAAGACGCTGGTAGCAACCCGTAGCAACCATTAGCACCAGTCACTGGTATTTGTGGTACATTTTTAAATGTTCAGTTGTCTAAGTTTCATGTTTAATGAATAAAAGAGATAATAATATAAAAATGCAAGAAGATTGCATAGACTGACTACAAACAGTGGCATGACAAAGTAGCAACAATGGTGCATCGGAAGATCTGCAAGAAATATCATTTGCCTGCAGGTAAGAACTGGTGGCACCATAAAATAGAGAAAATCATAGAAAATGAAGAAGTTCAATTGCTCTAGAACTTTAGAATTCAAACAGACAGGAATCTGCCAGATAACATCCCGGGCTTAACAATTGTCAATAAGAAAGACCAAAAATGTCTGGAAAGTGGACATGGCAGTGCCTCGAGACAGCAGAATAGAAGAAAAAGAACTGGAGAAGATAACAAAACACAAAGACTACAAATAGAACTAGAACAACTGTGTCAAAGGCAAGCAAGGATAGTATCAATAGTAATAGGTGCCTTGGGCAGTGGTAGGATTCAGCCAATTCGTACCGGTTCAGTAGAACCGTTACCTAATTTTTTGCTGAGTTCAGCGAACCGTTTAGACAGGTTCTGGAAAATCTGTGTTTTCCAGAACACATCTGATTTTTGTTCAATTTTCTTGCAGGTGGGGAAAAAAAAATCTCCCCAAAAATACAAGAGAGGAGTGACGGAAACCTTCAATCACGTTGGGCAAAAACTTGTCTCAGGCAGCAGGGGCAGGGCCTGCACATAAGGCGGCAGCCCAAGGCCAAAGCATCGGCAGACGGCCAGAGAGTCAGGGAGGGTGCTGAAGTGAGCGAGCATCCTGCCTGCAGCACCCATGCTAGCTGCCCCTTCCTGAGCTGGAATGCCATAACGTTTAAGTGTTGGTAGATGCTGACCTTTCCTCCAGCGCGGTTGGACAACTGCTGGAGAGAGACCAGCCCCTGGCGCCCAGATGCCCTCACTTCCCCCAAGCATTTCTTTGCCTACCTGATTTCCAACTCTGTTGCGTTTCTCGCTGCCGTGTGCAGGAAAACAAAAGTTTGTGAGATTAAAAAAAAAGTTCAATCAATTCCAACTTCTCATGAAAATAAAAGGTCTTGCAAAGTTGCAATTGATTGATTGAACTTTTTTTTTTAGTCCCACAAACTTTTGTTTCCCTGCACACGACGATGAGAAATGCAACAGAGAAACATGACGTAACTGAAAATCTGGTAGGCCCAGAATTGCTTGGGGAAGCGAAGGCATCTGGGCAGTGGTGGTGGGGCAAACTGTGGCACAGCACTGTGCGACAATAGAGAAATGGGCAACAGAGCAGCCGGCGCAAGGAAAGGAGGCTGTTTTCCTCTTCTCCCTGATCCTGCTTCTGCTCTTGCCGGCTGCTCCATTTCCAATTTCTCCATTGTAATGTAGCATCCGGGATCCACTTTGATCGGGGGGGGGGGTAATTTAACAACTGGTTCACCCAGGGTCAGGTTGGCCTTTGCAGAAAGCTCATCCCACATGTGCAATGGAGCTGGAGGACGGGGATGAGCCATGCCTCCCCAAAAAGCAAATCTGACCCTGGGTGAACTGATTGTTAAATTATTTGAATCCCACCACTGGCCTTGGGTGCAATCCCAAAGTCACTAGAGCACCACATGAACACTATTGGCATTGACAAATTTGCCATCAGTCAATTACAAAAGGTGGCTTTACTGGGAACAGGTTCCATCTTGCAACAAAATCTGTTAACACCAGGAAACATCCACATCTGCCTGTCCTCATCTGTAAGTCCCATGGTAAGGACTTGATAGGTAGACAAAAATACCAAACCTAGTCTGGCTGACTCTGTGAGTATCAATAATAATAATAATAATAATAATAATAATAATAATAATAATAATAATAACAACAACAACCACCTCAACAGTGACTGCAGCAAAATCTTACAGACTGATTATAACATCATGATTGAATTTGTTCAGAATATTGCAGCATAAATTCAGCTCCAGAAAAGTAAAACACAGATGGCTGAGGCTTCATTTGACTTCTTTATAAATACATGAAGTAAATTTTACAATACCAGTTGTAGATTTCTCCAACATGGAGCAAACTTAAACAGAAGCAGACATGTTACAGGTTTGGAGCAGAACAGCAACTCAGGAGCTCAGAAACACATCAGTTTCACTTTAGTTCAGCAGGCAAGCAAAACACACAGCAGAGGAGAAAAACAGTTTCATCTTCAATAGACAGACTCAGAGCTTAACAATAGCTTCAGAGCTTAATATAAAGCCATGCCTAGGCTATTTCTAGTTTCAGTTTCCAAACAGTTCTCATTGGCTGATTTAGTTGCTATGCCTGTTCATTGGTTGACCTTGTTATCATGCTCTATTCCAGTTCATGAATATACTCTGACACTCCTCCGTTCATAACTGGAATAGACATAAATTTAATTACCTTTAATATTCTTTAGATACTTGTATTTGAAGACCCACATTCACAGTTCCCTCCAAATACCTGATAATTCCTTTTTTATACCCACTTGCATCCTATAGCTTTGCTTCCCTGTGGCAAAGTCATAGATGTGAACACTTCATGTTCTCCCATGGGTTTCATTTCCTTGTCCATGGCTTCTTTCCACTTTACTTGTTCAACCAATACTTCTTTGTAGTTCCTTGGCTCATACCATACATTACACACTTTAACTTCACTAGCAGAATACCTGTCAGGTGGAATCCCCTTGTTCCATTGCTCTGAACTGTGTGGCACGGGCTGCTCCTGTGTGTCAACCCTTTCTTGCTTCATATCTTTTTCAGCTTCTCCTTCCTGAATGCTGACACCATCACTAAGTGAGTTACATAATTAAGTGGATCACCATCACTAAATGAATCATTCCACAAATTTGCATCAATTCTGTTCCAATTTTGCTCTGCAAAGCTTGTAGACCTTGAAAACACTATTCTTTTGCTCCCATCGCTAAAGCGATAACTCTTTGAGCCTGGCTCATAGCCCACAAACCTGAGCTTTCTAGCCTTTGGTTGCCCCTTTCTTCTTCTTTCTTCTTCTAATTGCTTTTGGAATATGCACCCACACATTGTTTCCAAACATCCTTAAATGTGCTAGAGATGGTTTTCTACCATATAGCACTGCATATGGAATATCATAAATGGAGGAACTTTACAACCTATTAACTAAATAATTAACAGTCAATATGGCTTCACCCCAATATGACCTGCTTAGACCAGAATCCTCTAGCAGTGAGTCCTTCATGGTTTGCCAGACTCCATTCCGTCTCTCAGCAACATCATTCTCAGCTGCTGTGTAAGGATTTGTGTGTCTGTGTTTTATTTCTAACTGTGCCAACCACTGTTGAAGACTTGTTGACATGAATTCTGAACCTCTGTCAGTTTGCAGATGACATACCTGTTGTTTATACCTTTTTCTACAAAGCTTACTCATTGCTTAAATTTCTGAAGCAGCTGTTTTACTCTTTAGTAAATAATATAATTCTTCTGACCCAAATAGAGTAGAGAGCTCTTTAATTTTTTCAGCCATCCTGCAAAGTCTCTTGTCTTGTTTCTTATTTTTAAAACAGACAGTCTCTCAGCTTTAATTACAATTCAGTCTTTTTCTGGGCCTAAATCTTTTCAGAGAATTGCAGCATATATTCAGTGCCAGAAAAGTAAACAGATGGCTGAGGCTTCATTTAACTTCTTTATAAATACATGAAATAAATTTTACAATACCAGTTGTAAGATTTCTCCAAACTTAAACAGAAACAAACATGTTACAGGTTTGGAGCAGAACAGCAACTCAGGAGTTCAGAAACAGACATCAGTTTCACTTTAGTTCAGCAGGCAAACAAAACACACAGCAGAGGAGAGAAACAGTTTCATCTTCAATAGACAGACTCAGTGCTTAACAATAGCTTCAGAGCTTAATATAGAGCCATGCCTAGGCTATTTCTAGTTTCAGTTTCCAAACAGTCCTCATTGGCTGATTTAGTTGCTATGCCTATTCATTGGCTGACCTTGTTACCATGCTCTGTTCCAGTTCATGAATATATTCTGACAGAGTTGCCAAAACTGGAAGCTTTGCCAGAAGTTTGGGTTCAAATGCAGCAAATATTACTGGGAACACGAAATTGACAAAAGTTCTTGAAAATGAACAGGTCAAGATCTTATGGGACTTTTGAATCCAAACAGGCAGACATCTGGCCCACAATATGCCTGACATCACTATTGTGGAAAAGAAAATAGTCTGATTCATTGATATGGCAATACCAAGTGATGCATAAATTGAAGAGAAACAACTAGAAAAAAATAACAAAATAAGGTGATCTGCAAATTGAAGTTGAGCCCTTGGAGCAGTACCCAAAGGGCTGCCTAGGTACATGGAAATTTTGAACTTATCAGGCCTGAATATTCTGACTTTGCAAAAAAAACAAAAAAAAAACCACCACTCTATCTGGAACTACCTATATATTCAGACATTACCTTAATAGTTCTTAGGTTCCTGGTTAGGACTTGGAACTGTTACATTTTTATCGGTCCAAGACTGAATCAAGTTGAAGATTAAATTTTAAATAATTCATTTAGGTTGGAAAGGATAATTATTAATTTCTCAAAGTGTGTTAAGCAGTGAAATACTGAATCTCTTACATTCTCATTCTAAAAAAAGTTTCAAAAGTTTATAGTCAAGTGGACCAAGAAAAAGAATCACAAATAGGTTGTCAATTATCTCTTCCTTGTTACCATATATATTGTAAAAATCTGTAATCCTATAAAGATCAAAGTCTCTTCATAATGTCAATGTATCTGTCCTATGTTGGTTATAAAATCCTGAATATGTTGTTAATAGGGCTAGATGTATTCCTATAAACATGCAGAGATACTCGAAACATGTTGCTTGTTATTAGAGTTTAGGAAATGAAATTTAATTCCACCATCCTACTTATTTCTGAGACCAGTAAAGAAACTGTCTGTTGATTTATAACTTTTTAGAATTAAAGCAAAAAGTTTAATAGTAAACAATGGTATTTCCTCTGTAATTTCTATTGGAAGAATTTGAAATTTAAAACAATTTTAAAAGTGCCTGCATTTTGGCTGTCTCGGTTCAAACCATTATATTTAAGTATTTCATTTTGAAGTTTTGATTTTTCTCTAAATGGGAATAAAATTTTATCAAATAATATATGAATTGTAATATTTATTCTTAAATATTTAAAATATTTATATATTACTAGTGTATACTAGTGAAAGAATATTATTTGGGAGCTGCTTTAAGATGAATATTTTTCAAAATTTTCCAGTTCCATTCTAATGTATTTTAATGACTAAATAGAATTTTTAAAAGTTAATGTACTCATGGATAAACCAAGAATTTTAGGTGCCAAAATACACACCCAAAATAGGATTTGGTTTATCTGCAAATGGGCTTATCTGTGAGTATGTATGGACATTTTTAAAGTGCTCTATATCCTATATACTTGCAGATTAGCCAAGCCTCAAATGTTTAATTCAAATAAAATAAAAAAATGCCATCCACAGATAGGCCAGTTGTGAAAATAAAAACATGAAAATTTCAAGAGTTGGATTATCTGCAGATAAACTTATTTAGAAGTATACAAATAAATTCAGTAAATAGGTCTCATTTCCTATTTTTTCCCTTTAATTTCCTTATTACTAGGAAGTACTACTATTAAAGTTTCTATAAGAAAAGTAAATGATAAAAGAGATTAAATAGGCAGACTTGTTTAATATGTTTTGAAATATTGGACAAATGGTCAGTATCAAACTTTTGTACTAAACCAATTTTTAATATTAGCATTTTAAGAACCCCTAGTCAATAAAAGTTAAGCATTTAGGTGTTGCTCTTTTCATAACTTTTTCATATTTAAAAATGTCAGTCTTTGTGGTGTTCTTGACTATTTACTAGCTATCCTTCTCTTTCAGGCATTTGATTTAACGGAACAGAGATATGTAGCAGTAAAAATCCACCAGTTAAATAAAAACTGGAGGGATGAAAAGAAAGAAAATTATCACAAGTGAGTATTTCCACAGTTACATGATCAAAATTGTAGGACTTGGCAACCAAGTTGACAGTTGTAATGTTTTTGGATCATGTGATAACCACCTTCCCAGCCAGCTCCTGACAAGAAAAATTGATTGGGAAACCAGATTCACTTATCAACCATGTGATTCACTTAACAACTATATTTTTTGATTGTTGGATATAGAACATGGGCTGGGCCAAATAACAGCTGAGTTATTTTCCAAATCACCAAATACAATATTTTATCCATTGTTGATTCGAATCTAGCTGGATACTATGTCCACTTCCATTTATCACTCGTTAGATTGTTTTCAGAAAAACTAGAACATGCTCAGAGAAAAATATAGAATAATGATCTGGAGATAACATTGGTTGCTGCCTTGGCTCCATTTCAAAAGGCAGTCAAGATTAATTTATTCCAAAGGCCTTTAGAAATTTCTTTTTTTTTTCAAGTTCAGGTTAACCCTATAAAAAGGCAGAGTGTGTTTCTCATGATCTTGACAATATTTATGTGCCATGCTCAGGTTAAAAGTCAGACACATTAAGTGATATTCAATACATTCAGTTTTGAGGTAACGTGTGAACTAAATTGTGATATATAATCTAACATTTCTAATATATCCAGTTCAGATATATTTAACTTTCCATTTGGAGGTAAACCTACACTTTTCCTGGAAGTATTCTATCAAATAATTTTGAGGGATACTTTTGGTTACCAAGTTAGCCTTTGTTGAGTTTAGAACCTAACAAAGCATTACCCATATTTTTTCACCTCCTGAAGTGCCAGGAGGATTGGTGAGAAGCCGCTTGTAATAAATAATTCTGTCTTTTTCTTTTAGGCATGCTTGCAGAGAGTACAGAATTCATAAAGAGCTGGATCATCCTCGCATAGTTAAATTATATGACTATTTCTCATTGGACACTGACTCGTAAGTGCTGCTGCCTTTGTAATTTGCACTGTTAAATAAAGTCATTTGAAAATTTGTGATTGAGCTGTTAGAAATTTGTGGGGGAGGAAATGGAGCAAACCAATCTTTTTGAAATATGGATCTTAACATTTAAAGTAAAGCCTTACCAGAAATTGAACTTGCCTGTCCAATCCAATGATTAAGAGAAGACATTTTGCAAATCCTCACTCTTTACAACAATGTATGGGCCATAGAAAATGCAGCATGCATTCTGAGTGATGGGCCTATTTTGTGAAATACTTTTCTCTGGAAGAACAGATGGCCCAAATGCTACTGGCAATTTGTAAACAAAGCAGTTTTGTTCCAGCTTGGGTTCAGCCTTTAGATTAATTTAGTTTTCAAGTATCTATGATGTTTATTTCTATCTTTTAATTATCTTTAAATGTTTACACTGTCTTTAATTATTAAATTAAAAGGACTAGAGTGCCTTGATACTAATAAAGGTATATATCTCATAAAATTAATATTTTTTCTACACAGCATTCATGGTGTCTTACAATTAAAAAAGCATAAATAGCTAAAATATGAGTAAAACATATTAAATCACAATTATGTAATTAATACCAAGATTACCATGCTAAAGCTGCTTTGTTTCCTTTCCAAAAAAAACCAAAATAAGTAGAAACCAAATAAGTAGTACAACTGAAGGTGTGCATTTCATAATTTGGGAGCAATAGGGAGGGCCTTCTTTCACAAACCTCATAAATTGTGGGAAGGCAATATATAATTAGTATTTTGAGAAAATATATCATGGAAGAGAAAATAGGATTTATGAAAGGGATTCATATTACCTTGCACATAAGAAAAGCTGCAATATTATCACCTTGCACATAAGAAAAGTTGCAGCAATACTTTATTTTGTGGGTGCCAAATAGTAGTTAACTTTTTGGAATTGAAATTTAAGCTAAATGTACTAAGTAAATTTGGTTTTAGCTTATTTTTTCAGAAATAAAATAAGTGATATGTTGCTTCAGCTTATCCATATCTTTTTTTACCGGTAAATAAGCACACTTTGAAACAAAGCTCATAGGGTTTAAAAAAATAAGGTCTATCACTTCTTGGCATTTTGGCTAAGATCAGGTTAATAGATCTATACATACTACATCAGTGCAGATGTACAGATCTAGAAAAATCATTATTTGTGATTTCTTAAGTAAACATTAAGTCGATTTTGGTACATGCATAAAACGTGTTTGATTGTTTGATTTCTCTTCCAGGTTTTGTACAGTGCTAGAATACTGTGAGGGTAACGATCTGGACTTCTACCTGAAACAGCACAAATTAATGACAGAGAAAGAAGCCCGATCTATAATCATGCAGATTGTAAATGCATTAAAATATTTAAATGAAATCAAGCCACCTATTATTCATTACGATCTCAAACCAGGCAAGTTCATAGTGAAGGTTGTACTGCACCATGGCGGGGAAAACATAATATGATGTATTTTACAACATTATGCTTCCTTGATGATAGAATGTGAAATATGTAGTTTGGTTTGATTATTTAACAATAACATTTCCAATTCCCATCACTGTGAACTTCCATAGTCATAACTGGAAACATTGTCAATCCTTTCTCTCTCTTTCAAATTAGTACTGTCATTTCGTTACTTTGAAAAGTATTAAATATGCTGCTTCAGTTGTAGCACTAATATCTTCAATGATGGATAGATGTTATTCTGAAAATGAGATCAGTAATTATCTTTAAATTTTATCTTTTATTCAGGTTATAACTTGAAGTGCTTTAGTGAACTGGAATTGATGTGTGGTTTTAGTTTGGCTCATGTTTGTATGATATTTTATCAATAAAATGAGTTAGAATGGGATGGGAAAAAAGCTCATGAACGGAAATTATTATTAAGATGATAATGATGATTCTTCTTATCTTCTGATCCTGTTTAGCCTTCAACTTTATTTCTGCAAAGTTATTCTAAAAGAAAACTGTGTTTTAGTTAATTGTATTACCACTTTGTATGGATGATTCTATGTTTTGATTGACTGGTATCAGAGAACTTAATTGGAGGGCAACTTAGAAAATTGTGGTTGGTTGCACAGCCTGCCAGATATATATACTGTGTATACATGGATTTGGCATGTTTGTTTAATCTGTAAATTTCTTCTCAAGGTCCTGCAAATAGGCAGGTGTTATTTAATAATATTAAAGGTTTTGTCACAGTATATAAGCTGTTCCAAATAAACCTGTCTTTTGCAATTAACTGATGGTAATTTTGTCAGTGTTCAAGTAGTGTTCCAGATGTTTTAGAATTTCATCCAAGGCACCTTATTGCTTTATTTTACAACAGTTTTCTACTTCATTTGTAGGTCTTCGTGTTTTATTATTTTTCCCTTTCTTTGTCTTCTGTTGTCGCCAAGTATTGCAACATCCACTACCCAGATTTTTTTTGTCTTATCAACAGCTGTTAAGTAATGTGACAGATGCTTGTCTGTTTGAATTCTAAAGTCTCAGAGCACTTTAACTTTTTCATGTTCTATTTGTTTATTTTGTGGTCCCATCAGTTCTTCCTTGCAAATAAATGATATTTCTTGCAGATATTCCAGTGCATCATTGTTGCTACTTTTTCATTCCCTCATGTGTAGTCCTGTGCCATCTTCTTACAGCAGCTAACTAGGTGGCCCATTGTTTCTTCTGCTTCAACAAGTGCAGAGGTGGCATTTGTTGTCTGTTGCTGTCCTGTCAATTCTGCCTTTATATGCATTCATTATCAAGGCTTGATCTTATGCAGCCAGAATTAGCCCTTCTGCCTCTTAATTCAACTTTCCTGCTTTTAGCCACTGCCAGATTTTGTTCTTATCTGTTTTGCCTGCTATTTCTTTAATGTACTAGCCATGTAATACTTTGCCTTGCCATATGTCTCTTCGATTCTTCATTTGATCTTTCATATAGACCAGTTTGGTCTCTCCAGTACTCAATAAATATTCCTGGTATACTAGCTACAGTGCATTTTCTTTACTTTACTTCAAATATTTCTCCAATGCCTCTTCTTCAGTTGCCTGGTGTACATTTCACACCAATCTGTTTTCCTTGTTAAGCAAAATTGGTCAACATTGCTGTGGGAATGAAGGGCATGGTTCATGATAATTTTTCTGGTCTTTCTATCCAGGGCTTTTACTTCTGTTTGGGTCCAGTCCACTATTCCACCTCTATATCTAATGATTGGAATTGTCCAGGTTTTGCCTTGGTGATATTTCCTCCACTGAGTTTGGACTTTTAAGGTCTTCACTCTTATGATGTATTCACTTCTAATCCTCTTCTTGACTTCAGTGTGCTTAATGTCGTCAGCTTGAAGGGTGCCCAGGTATTTGTAGTGATTGTCTTCATCTAGATTTTTGATGTTATTTTCATAAGTCAGTTTTCCATATTTTCCCCACTGATGGTGACAGAAGCACATTTGTTCAATCCAAAATCTCTTCAATATCTTGGCTGTATAAATGAACAATGCTGAGAATCAATTCTATTTTAGGAGATATTTCTCCTTATAGCTTCATACCATCCATGTAAAGGATATGGAATAGCTTAATAGATGTTTTTGATGTTTGATAGCTATGGGTTGATGTGTGACGTATTATTGACATCAGTGCAATAACAAATAGTAGTGGTGTAGTGAATCTCCTTGAAAGATTCCTCACTTGATATTAACCTCTCCTTATCTAAACCATTGACCAGCAATTGTGTCTTCCATTGTCCCATTGCTCTTTGTACAAAGTTTCTAATGTTTCTACTGATTCCACTTATTTCTAGGCACTTGATTATCCAATCATATGGCAGGAAGTCAAATGCCTTCTTATAATCAATCCAAGCTACATTCCAGTTGATCTTCATTGTCTTGTGGTTTTCAAAATCATCTTGTCAGTTAGGGGCTGAACTTCTGTTTCTCTGCTGTTTGGGCAGTTTCCTTTCTGCTCAGGTGGAAAGAGCTTGTTTTCAGTTAGATGCTGTTGGACTGCATCAGTTACCACACAGATACCATCTGAAAATTATTGCTAAGTAGATAATTGGTTTATAATTGCGTGGTGCTGCCCCTTCTGCTGGAACTTTCATTATCAAGTAGCTTTTACCAGATGTATTTTTTAATTTTGCAACCCTGCAGCTTGTTGTTAAACTGTTTACCAATGAATGGGTGTTAGATGTTTCAATCCTAAACTGTGCAGTTCATCTTCACCTAGAGCTGACCGATTCTTGATTTTCCTTGCCCTTTTCTCCATAGTTTTTTCTGTTATTACAAATTAATTCATTCATTCCAGCTTCTTTTTAATTCTTATTCACCTAAAGAGAAATAATTATCTATTCCTCCCTGCATCAAAGCTATCCTGAACTGCAACACTCAGCAGCTGCATCAAGGCTGGGCCTGAATTGGAGGCCCAAGTTTCGACTTCAGTCCTAAGCTACCACTGTCACTCAAAAAGGCCACCTTCTACCATTCCCCAAGGAATGGTTGCCTTGCAGTCAGCCCTCCCCAGGATCTGTTTGCACCACTTATCTTCAGACAATGTCCTTTTGTTGTTGTTGTTGTTGCAGGCCACCGTGGCCTATATGAGGCTGCTCGGTCACAAACTGCATGAACTGTGATCTGTTTTTTCTGCCTCTTTGCACAATCTGCATTTTGAATCATTTGATTATTTCAATTCAGGACTAGATTGTATTAGTTGAAATAGCCTGCTCTTGGGCAAACAAAATTGACAGATTATTTATTTAATATTCTAGTTTTATGCTATTGCCAGGTTTTATTCTTATCCATTTTGATCTTTTGTAGAAATTGGCCATATAATGCTTTTGCTTGATTGCATTCTGTTTATGTTTTTATTATATTATTTTGATATTCATGTATTGTTTCCTATGCATTCATTAAGGTCCAGTTTTTAATTTGCATCAATGCTTGGCCTTGGCTGTCTTTTAGACAATCAATAGTTTGACTTGAAGTAAACCTCTACTTCCATTTCTACAGGGCAGGTATACCATATCAATATAACAGTAGGGATATAATGAATAATCACCAGTTTTCTTGTTTTATAGTCCAAATTATCTAGTTAAAATTCAAACAGTATATCACATCATGCCAGTATCACCATTTGATGATGTTTCCATTGTTCACTCTTGTCTTCAGCATTTTTTTCACTCTGGATGTATTCTTTACTAATCATATTTTAACTTGTTCCTGTTTGATGTTATCCAACTGTAAAATACTTGTAGGCTTCTTCATGATGGCTCCTGGTGGTTTCACTTTTACTATTCATGAGTTTATCTCAATTTATTGCTACTGTAGTACATTTCTTTAGGCCAAGTTCCATTGCTGTGTCTGTGCTAAAAATGCTTACGGTAATTTATCCACGGCTGACAATGATTTCTGATTTTCCATAAAGTTACAGATTATCCAAATAAAGCAAGTGTGAGATTTTATGGGCATATTTGATAGCCACAATTTGTTGTTGTTGTTATTATTATTATGAACCATTTCCATTCACCTATTAGTTTATCCTGTAACATTACATCTAAGGAGAGTTTCTCTTGGATGTGGAAAAAAACATAACTACATTAAGTTTTGGGAAAGAAGCCAGTGCATCTTTTTTCTCTGGCTGTTCTATCCACCCTCATACTTAGTAGGCCTGTTTAACTTCAATTTTTTTCCTCCCCAGGAAACATCCTCTTGGTAAACGGTACTGCTTGTGGTGAAATTAAAATCACTGACTTCGGCCTCTCAAAAATCATGGACGATGACAGTTACAATTCAGTTGATGGCATGGAGCTGACATCTCAAGGAGCTGGTACATATTGGTGGGTATATAATCTATTTTTTGTCTTGCATAGTCCATAATGTTCTAAAAATACCTGTCATTAGAACTTGAGGAAAAACAGAGAAAAACATACATTTTGCCAAAATAAGATTTTTGTAAAAGTAGGGGAAATAATGAGGACAATAGATTCAACTAGTATATCAAAATCATAGTTTTCAGAGGAAATTAGATATCTCTTAGGAGTATGCAAAACTCCTCAGAAAATAGTTCTCTAGAACATACCCTCTGAGTTTTCTAGAGAACCTCAGAACATTCTATTTCTAAGTAATTCAGTTTTGAACATCTTAGTTTTTCCAACTCAGTTAACAATCTGAGATATTGAAAAGATTATTTCAAAACATTAGATACCTGTAAATATTTAAGGGACCTTCCTTGTAAAATTATAGCAGAATCCTTAGTGATTTTCAAAGACTTATTTGGATATATGAGAAAGGCCGTCTCTTGCCTCATTTCCCAACTATGGACATCTCCAGACAAAATAAAAATTATTCTGGAAATATTTAAGTAAATATTTAAGCAAATAAGTAAGAGGTGTACTTATTTTTGTATATTTTTATTATTGAAATTAATTTGAAAAATATAATCATTAATATTTTTCTCTAGACTAGCTGGGAGGTAGGTAAGTCAATATAGCCTATTATCCCATCTAAATTTGTAGATCAAGAACAAAAAATTGAAAGAATAATAACCTATTTCAATATCCCAGTATTTCCTTTTAAAAGTCCCTGTTATATCAGAGATAAAATTACAGAACACTGGATAGTTTGTTCCAAGGTTGAAATACTCATAACTTCCATTTCAAATTTAGAAAATTTTGTCCAATTTCTACACATATTTTACTGCAACTGTCTGAAGGGCATAATGTCTGAGAATCCTGAGTGCGTAATAAAGGTGAACATTACAGCTGGCTACTATACACTTTCAAAGAAAAGCAAATCAGTGTGTTCCGGTTGTGGTAGCTTACTTGAAATATAAGGTGGATGGTCTTTTGCCTGACCTGAACAAGTAAGCAATACTGTAAGATGTGGACAGACTGAAGATCACTTGAGGATATGTACTTGGGGGATGCTGTTAGGAATGTAAGTCACCTAACGGGTTGGAAAATATATAAACCAGGATAGACATTTTAATACTGTCTTTTTAAGGGAATGCTAAAATTGTAATTGGGTGTTGTTCCTCAAAAGACCATAAGATGGAGCCAGAAACCTGAGTTCTGTTATTCTGGAGAGTGTTGCTATTTCCCTATTGACTGTTAGTGATCATCATTATTCTTGGATTTGATGTAAGTCTGTTACTGAACCGTTTATGATACTGGACTTTGTTATTGGATTATCCCTGGACTGAAAACTGACTGCTTTAACCATGAATGACTTGGACTGTTTGTTGAACTTTGCTTAACCGTTTTACTGGAAGTAAAAACCTACATTTTACCATACAGTGTATCTGTGTGCTGGTTGTGTATTACTCTTCACCACTCTCACTACGTCTCCCTGTGTGCACTTATTCTCCTAACGGGGAATTACCTCAACACTGGTTATGGGCCCAGGCCATACCAGGCTCAGATAACTGAGAATTGTTGTGAATATACAGTACCTTATACAGACAGCTGTTTACTGTTTAATTGTGGGCTACTGTTCTGGTAAAGATGGCACAAGACCCGTCAACAAGTCTATCCCTGATAACCCAGTTGGATGGAACAAACCATGTTTCCTGGTCTATGAAGTGCAGTCTACTTATGCGTAGAGAAGAGTTATGGAATGTAGTTCAAGACCCACCGGATGTAAATGCTTGGGATCCAGAAAATGAGGACGATGCCAAGAAGCTTGCTGACTTTAAACAGAACAACAAACGAGCTCTTTGTATAATTGGACTAACACTGAGTGACCAGCAGCTAGTCCATATTCATGGAGAAGAGTCTGCTGCTAGGTGTTGGGAAAATTTGAAGAGGATTTATGTTCGTGACAGTGTAGGTGCACACATACATCTTACACGTACACTGTTTAGAGCATGTCTTCTGAAAGGTGGAGATATGTTCGCTCATTTCAACTTCATGAAAAGAACTTTTCAAGAGCTACATGAAAAAGAACTGATATTTTCAGAGCGGCATCAAGTTTACATCATTCTTTCCTCATTGGATGAAAGTTATGATGATTATGTATCTTCACTGGAAGTCCTGCCCAGAGATAAACTGACATTAACTGACATAACTGGAAGATTGTTAGAAGAAGCAAGAAGACGACTGGGTAGGAACCAACTAAGAAAGGAACAACTACAAGAAGAGGATTTGTGTTCAACTGCCTATACTGTTAGGAAATGTTTTTCTTGTGGGGCTAGGGGACATATAGCTAGATTCTGTAAGAAGGGAAAACAACAGAATACTGGTAATCACCAGAAGGCTAAGAAGAATGTTAGTTTAGCTATGTCTAGCAATTCAATTGTAAACAATTATTTGTGGGTTGTTGATAGTGGAGCATCGCAATGCATTACTAAAAATAGAGGTTTGTAAAAATGTCTACGAGTAAGCAACATGTATCATTGGCTAATGGATGGAAGATGAAAGCGTCTGGTGAAGGTACTGCATATTGCTCATGTGTAAATGAGCATTTAACTATGTTATATGTACCTAAACTGAAATTTAATTTGTTATCAGTAAGGGCTTTAGTTAATCTTGGTTATGTAGTAATCTTTAGGGGAGATAACTGTATAATAGAGAAAGAGGGTACAAGTGTTACTGCTAATTTAGAGAATGATTTATATGTGATACATGATGACCAGTTGAAGATGGCTAACTCGGTTTATAACAATGTTAAGCCACATGATTTACAGCATAGACGTCTAGGGCACATTAATTTCAAAATGCTGAAGCAAACTGTTGACTTGTCAGAGGGAGGGAGTAAAACCCTGTAGTAAGTATTTAAACTGCAATGCCTGTAGCCAAGAGAAAAGCAAGGTTATTCCAGCAAACAGACTTAATGGGTTTAAGACCAAAGAACCTTTAGAGGTTGTGCTTGCAGACATAATTGGTCCTAAGAAACCCAGTTTGGGAGGTGCCTGCTATGTTTTGAGTATAATGGACCATTACTCATGGTATGGTTTCTGCTATCTCATGAAAAACAAAACAGAAATATTCCAACATTTCTTTAACTGGCTAAGATTGGCTGAAAGAAAAATGAGGAGTAAAGTAATTACTTTAGTTACTGATAATGGGACTGAGTTTATTAATGAGATTCCAAACAATGCTGAAATTGGCTGGTGTCAAGCATAAACGTTCTGCACCTTACAGACCACAACATAACTTGTTTGTAGAACGAAGAGGGCAAACGTTACAAGCCATGGCTCGCACTATGTTATCTGACTCAGGTTTGCCTGAAACACTGTGGGGTGAAGCCATAATGTGTAGCAACCATGTGTTGAACAATGTAGTTAACACAACAACTGGTGAATTGCCATTCACTCGTTGGCATGGCAGAAAGCCAAATTTAAGTTATCTACACACATTTGGAGCTCCAGCATGGGTGCATATTCCCTCACAAGTAAGACTAAAAGGGCAACATAGAGCTAAGAAATTATTTTTTGTAGGTTACGAGGCCAACCATAGATCGTTTAGATTCTGGGATCAAGGCACAGCTCATGTTTATTGTAGCGCTAGTGCAAAATTTCTTGAGCACGTTGGGTGGGATAAACTGGAACAGGAATCCAGCAATGATGTTATTATTGACACCAAAGTAGTCCCTAAAGATAAAATAAGTAAACCACGAATAGCCATTAAAGAGGAAGAACAGGCACAGGAGGAGGTAGGAGAACAGGAGCAGGTGGCACAGGTGAGTCCACCAGTAAGCCCTATATTACCAAGACGTTCAATCTGAGTAACACGACCACCTGATAGATATCAGGCTGGTGTTGTATGCCAAGTGAATATAGTTCCTGGTAACTATAATGAATTGAAACTGTATCCTGCTAATGATCAGGCTGCTTGGCAGGAAGCAATGGATAAGGAACTGGAATCATTAAAAAAGTTGGAGGTATACGAAAATGTTAAGGTACCATCTGGTAAACATGCCATAGGGTGTAAATGGGTTTATAAACTAAAGACTAGTGTAGATGGGACTGTTACCCATAAAGCCAGATTAGTAGCACAAGGATTCAATCAGACAGCAAATGACTATGATGAGGGGTTTGCACCTAGTCTGGAGGCTACTACATTAAGGGCAGCATTAGTGTGGGCAGCTAAGGAGAAATACATTATAAATCATTTAGATGGAGAGACGGCATATCTGTATGCACCGTTGCAACACATTATATATTTAAAGAAACCTTTAGGTATCAAAAATAACAATACAATTGATTGCTGGAGATTGAAAAGGAGTCTTTATGGCTTGAAGCAATCAGGATATGAGTGGAACCAGTATATAGTGAAAGAATTAACTAAGATAGGTTTTGTAGCTGGCATGGCTGATCCATGTTTGTTCAAAAAGGAAAGTAATGGTGTAATTTCATTGTTGCTATTGTTTACTGATGACATAGCATTAATCACCAAAACTGAACAAGAAGCTACTAAAATAATATCACTGTTAGAGAAGAAATTTAAGATAAAACAGGAGAAATTAAACAATATCTTGGATTAAAGATAGATAAAACTAGGGGAGGATACAAGATCTCACAGGCAGATAAAATTAACCAATTACTAAAAAGTTTTAAAATGGAACTTTGTAAGCCGGCTAAGACACCATTGAGCCGGGAGTTTAGCCATGGTGATGTTCAAAGTCCTATTTTTGATAAAGATATTAATCAGTCCTTGATTGGTAGCTTATTTTATCTCAGTAATTGATCAAGGCCAAATATAGCATACAGTGTTAACCAATTAGCAAGGTTTAATGCTGAGCCAACTGAAAGGCACTGGCAAGCTGCTAAGCGTGTGTTAAGATACCTGAAACAAACAATGCATTATGCATTGTATTTGGAGCCTAAGGATGAACTAAGTCTAACTGCATATGCCGATGCAAGTTTCACTACAGACATAAATACATGTAAATCTACATCAGGTACTGTAGTATTATTGGGAAAGGTGTTGATCGGATGGAGGTCTATTTGGCAGAAACATTTAAGTTTGTCAACAATGGAGGCTGAATTCTCATGTTTATCTCTATTATGTACAGATTTAGTTTATTATAAGCAACTATTGATTGACATGGGAATTGATGTAACAGATTCTATTGTTGTTTATGAAGACAACCAATCAGCAATACAGATGGCTTCAAATATTGCTCTTAAGACAAGATCAAAACACAGATTTAAGATATTTAAATGTGAGACAATGTGTGCAAAGTAAGATGATTAAGCTAGAATACTGTATGTCAGAAAATAACATCACAGATCATTTTACAAAAGCCCAAGGCTCTGTTAAGCATAAGGCTTGCTGTGAGGATTATGGACTTAGAATGTAAGGTTGTATATATTGTCCTACCCAAAGGGGAGAATGTTAGGAATGTAAGTCACCTAATAGTTGGGTTGGAAAATATATAAACCAGGATAGACATTTTAATACTGTCTCTTTAAGGGAATGCTAAAATTGTAATTGGGTGTGGTTCCTCAAACGGCCATAAGATGGAGCCAGAAACCTGGGTTGTTCTGTTCTGTTGTTCTGGAGAGTGTTGCCATTTCCCTATTGATTGTTTCTGATCATTGTTATTCTTGGATTTGATGTAAATCTGTTACTGAACTGTTTATGATACTGGACTTTGTTATTGGATTATCCCTGGACTGAAAACTGACTGCTTTAACCGTGAATGACTTGGACTGTTTGTTGAACTTTGCTTAACCATTTTACTGGAAGTAAAAACCTACATTTTACTATACAGTGTATCTGTGTGCTGTTTGTGTGTTATTCTTCACCACTCTCACTACGTCTCCCTGTGTGTGCTCATTCTCCTAACGGGGAATTACTTCAACAGATGCCCTTTGAAGGCATAGTGTCTTTCCTTGTAAGCCAACAATCAGTTGAAGCAACATATTTGAGAATACTTGCTGTTTATCCTTTATCACCCAAATTGTAGTGTTAGCCCTAGTTATAAAATTGTAAATAACTCTCCAGAAAATGCACATCCATTAATGTAAAACAGGTTTGAAGGACATTTTTAGAGTTCATAGGTTGAACATACAGAAGTGTGGCATAAAATCCACAACATTTGCATTATAGGTAGTACAGGGAAATTTGGTAATAATAGTAGTATTTGTATCATTATTCCAATAATTGGACATATATTAACAAAGCCAGCTGATTTCCTATGCTTCATTTTTTATTGTTTCAGAATTTTGCTATTTATAGTTAAATTGTTGTAATAAAGAGCTGAAATAAAAGACATTTTATTCAACTTTAAGAAGCAAGTTAACGCAACTTGGTATCTTGCTGCTATTTCTGCAACAACAACAAAGGTTGATGAAAAATTATAGTGGTTGTTTCAATGTATGCCATACAGAACCAGAACATGCCCTGATAAGCTTTAAATAAAAAAAAAGAGGGGAGTGATTTTAACTCTATGAAATTTTAATAATCCTTGGGTGAAATAAAGTCTGTGACATAAATGGTTAATGGTGAAAAATGGGCATTTAAAATAAATATAGCTATTACTCTCTCTTCTCAGGTATCTGCCGCCTGAATGTTTTGTGGTTGGAAAAGAGCCTCCAAAGATTTCAAATAAAGTTGATGTTTGGTCAGTAGGAGTTATCTTCTACCAGTGTCTTTATGGCAGAAAGGTAAGTGGAAGGGCAACTAAGGTATTGCAAAAAATATTCAGTCATTTTAGCCTGAGTCTTATGTGCACTCAGTTATAGTTCCTAAAATTAGGAGGAGTGTGGTAATATATTTTCCATCTAACACATTTTATTAAAAGGTATAAGCTTTCAGGAGCTACAGGTTTCTAAAAATCTTAACATCTGGTTTAAGTGTTAAAGCACATATTCTATCCTGTTGCTGTAACCTCAATTTGTGCAAGTAGATTCTGTTAAAAATGTTTGTGTTTATATATTAACATTTCTGAATTTAACAAATTTGTATATTGCCATTAATACCAAAGATTCTCAGTAGTTATAGTAATACATATTAACATTAACGCTTCCATGGTTAAAATGTTAGATCTACATTATATATAAAACATGGCTAACAAACAATATGAATATTTTGAAGACTTCAGTTATTTATTTTTATTCATGAAATGTAATATTTTTAAAAATGTTGATTGGCTGTCTAACTCATAAAGAAATTCTGATGAAATTTGGGAAAGGAGAGATGATATAAAGGAAAATGAGAGGATTTTAGAATAAATATATTTGGAATTTGATTAATGATTACAGCTAGCAGTTTTATTTCACACTTCAAATGCAATTCAGTTAGTGAAGAAATTCAGGTAAAGCATTCTCCACGGATATTGGCCAACCTTTGCCTAGACACATCCAGCAAAGGAGAGCCACGATTTTTCTTGTTAATTGGTTCCACTATTGAACTGCTCTTACTACTTAGGTGGTGTTCCTACCATTCAGCTTTCTTACAACAACTTGACCATTATTCCATGCCTGGGACAATAGTCTTCTGTATGGTCTTTTTCAATAGAGCAGAATGTTTTCATATCCCTTCTTGTTCATCTTTTCTCAAAGCTAAATACACAGCTCCCTCATTTTCTTCTCCTATAATTTTTTAGTTCTGTAGTCATCCTTGTGTCCCTTTCTTGTACTTTTTCTCTTCTTCTGCAGCCCTTTGGTCACAACCAATCTCAGCAAGATATCCTGCAGGAAAACACAATCCTTAAAGCTACGGAAGTACAATTTCCTCCTAAGCCAGTGGTAACGCCAGAAGCAAAGGTAAAAAGAGTTATATTTGGTACAGGGAAATAGGATTAGTCTGCTTTTAGGGGTTTGTTTAATTCTTCTATTGGAGGAAAAAGCACTGAATTGTTGAGTCTATTGATCATTTGGATTGCTTATCATCTACTTCTGACTGAGAGAAGGAAAATGTTTTTGCATTCCATAAACCTGTTATCTGCCTATCTTTCTTCCATGGAGCTAAGTTCTTTAAAACAGATAAAAGACCAGTGAAATAAATGTAGGGAAGCTGAAATAAATGTTGAATAGCTGCCTTTCAAACAGATTTTTTAAGAGGAATGCCTGTAGCCCAAATGGAAACTTGACCTGGAGAAATCTATCTGGGGAAAATTTCATACAGCATGGGAAGATTTTTCTATAGCTTTAATTTGCTATAACACTTCGTTAACATAAAAAATTGATTTCTTTTTGCTAGTCCTACTAGCTTCTTCCCTTTATAAAAGGGGGACAGTACCAATTTTTATTTCTGGTGCCTATTTTCTCCTTGTGTTTTATTATTTTTTAGGCATTTATTAGGCGCTGCCTGGCATATAGGAAGGAAGATCGGATAGATGTCCAACAATTGGCATGTGACCCCTATTTGCTTCCACACATCCGCAAGTCTGTATCAACAAGCAGCCCAGCTGGAGCTGCTGTCGCCTCAACTTCTGGATCTTCTAATAACAGCTCATCAAACTGAGCAGGAACAATAGGTCAAAATATATATATAACTGGAACTGCAGAAGGAAATGGAGAGAGTCAGACATGTTTTGAGGTGCAGCCTTGGGATTGGCAAGAAGTCCACAAAATGGCTCCAAGAAACCAGGATCAGGTTCTTTGTTTTTCTCTTGCATTCTTGTCCCATCCGTAGAGCAAGGCATCATTGATTCTCAGCAAGGATTATGGCAACTTAAGCTAAGTAGCCAAGGAAAAGAAGATTGGTCTAGTGCTAAGCAATTGCGAAGGCACTATCTGCTCTGGGCAGTGAAAGGAGAAAGATGGTTCTATGTTCCGTGAACTTCCAAACACTATGGACCCAGAGTGCGGTTCCATGATGCAGGGTGCACACACTTAGTGTGAAGAAATGTGGTTTTGGTGGCAGGGTAAAGAGGCTGGAGACAGTCTACCATCAATATTTAATTTTTTTTTCTTTTTTGTTAAGACTACATCTCATTGGAGGAAAGGGGGAGAAACCACATAGGTCAATGGTATGAGGTTGCACTGAAGGTTGGCATAGGATTTTTGTGCTCTCTACAAAAGAGTGCAGTGTCCTGCCTATTGATAGCACCAGCATTAATTAGCATGTTATCCCAAATAATTTCATCTTTAGTAACAAATTTGTTTTTTGGATACAAGATGAATTAAATAGCAAGTCAGCGTGGCAGGAATTTTTCCTTAGAGTGACTTCATAATCTATGAGAAAGGAATGCAATGCAGAATTTACATAACAACTGTGAGCTTAGATTTCTCTTCCCTTTCAACATCCTAAGAAAGTTACTATTTTGTCAGGAATTTGACAATTATCAGCTCTTCCCTTTGAACAAATGTAGAATTTCTCCTTTTTCTTTCTTTCTCCACCTAGTTCTTCAATCCATTCATTGGTGTTTACTTTAGAAAACTCTGCTCTCTTTAACATGCATACAAATGCTGGCTCTAGCAAATTCTTTAGCCAAAGTTCTTACCCTTCCTAATTTTCCGTATTTGCTTTTTGCATTGTTTTGAATGCATTTGCTGCATTTACATCTCGAAGGAAGTGTATGTAGAAGAGGCAGACTTTTCTAATCTTCTGTCTTGTGTTTAATTTTTTTCTCAGTTAAGAAGTGGGTTTTTAAAAATATTCTTTACTTTTTCATCGTCTAAAAAAAAACCTTAAAAACCAAAGAAGAATCCAGTTGCTTGAAACTTGTGGCAAAATGTTACTCCTGCAAATAGCTGAAAGGATGTTTGCTGCGAATTATTTGAGCAGTACTGTATGATCAAGTACCCTGGCACAGACCTCAGTTCTTCACTTACAGCTGATGATTCTCAGTCCTCCCTTAACTTCTTATAGGTACTAGTACAAACGGAAGCAGCCAGGGGCCAAACATTTTGAAAGTCAAGAGAATTAGGAGGAGAGAGTAAAATGGACATAAGGGCTTTGTATGTAAACTATTATGAGGATGTCCTTTGGCTACATTTGCAGATCAGGTGATTAAGACCTGGTTGTTAAATCTATTTGGGGTCCCCACCCTTCCTTCTGAAGCAGCACAGTGCATGCACCCATTCGGTCAGAAGATGATCCTCATACTTAAATGGAATTAAATAAGCCGGTATGAAGAGTAAGGAAACACAACATGTCACCATCACAACTGAAGATACCATAAGAAAGCTCATATTTCTTATGGTCATCTTTAAAATAATCTCCCCCCAAATAGAGGCTATATGACTACCTTTAGAATGGGAGTTTGTCATCAGTATGAAATAATATGTTGTCAAAGCTTTGAAGGACCGTGTCTTCCTTTTTTCTTTCACTCTCAATCATAGTTCTTGCTTCTTTTCCTAGACAAACAACTGATACTTAAGCATCTTTTACTGGAGATAAAATGTAAGCAGTTTCCAGGATTATCTAGATTTCTAGTGAATCACATCCATTGCACCTATTTCTTCCAATAAAGTTGTTAATTACCACTGAAAGCCTATTGGAAACAATAGGTCTTTTTTTGTTTTGTTTTTCCCTTGTCCCAGCTTTCAATTTGCTTTCTTGTCTTAAAAGAAGCCAACTCACATGTCTGTTTTTTTCAGGGTTCACATGTGCCATGGTTGCTTGTAGCTCTTTCACCAAAATACAGCTCATATTAACTTGTCAAAATACACAGGCAGAAATGACTGCTGCCATAACAAGATAGGGCTCCTTTCAGCTTGTTTGGACAGTAATGGTTGACCCCTTTATCTCATCTATTTTGGGATAGGGTCTTTCCATGGCTGAATGCAAAATATAAAAGATTGTCCATGTCAGTGCTCAGGTCTAACATTGTAGTCTTTTGCTCTCCAGATTTCTTACTTGGAAAGATAGATAGAAATCTGCATTTCATAGTTTATCATTTAGTTGATTCTTGATCATTAGCATAAATCCTATCCCAAATAAAACTTACAGTACTTAATTTTGCTTTAAAAGAAATCTCAATCAATCATAATGTTTAAAATCACAATATGACTCCCCCCCTCCTCCTCCACTCACCCATTAAATAGTAGCTGTCTGATATATTTATTCATGGTACCTGAGCAGAAATCTCCTCTTTTCATGGAGTTCATCACTAAACCAGGCTAAATCACTTTGGAAGAAAAATACAGACTGTGAGTTTTTCATTTCTTTAAGCGGTTGCTGAACTGTTTTATTTTGGGTATCCAAGCCTTTTTGTTGCCACACTGTTCATTTAACTGAAAGGGAAAAAGAAAGGTGTATGGATTTGTAACTTGAAACTAGGCCAGACTGTTTTGGCTTTGCCCTACAGACAAAAATATGGATATTAAACACGTTTTCAAAAATGCAATCTCTTCACTTGCCTGGTTTTATATTTAAGATGTGTTATTGTTATGGGAGGCATGAAAACCACAAGCTGTATAAAAGACACTCATTGGTCCTGATGAAACAATATAAGCAAATAGTTTGTTGCAGTCCACAAAAATTTTAAGAAGATGTAGTTTCCCTTCTCTAATAGGAATAGGAAGATCTGATAGATTTGTAAGTCAATTGTAAAAATGAATGTGAACAGAAATGAAGTGCTACCTTCCCTTGAATATAAATAATCAATGATTCCTCAAATACCAAGAGTTTTGAATTGGAAGCCAAGTCCATGATGCTGAGAAAATCTCCATGATTGTTTGCCTTAAAAGTTCTTGTATCAGAAGCGCCTAATGAAATTTTAGAACTTTCTCCAGATAGATATTTGGACAGGACTTCTGTCCCCAATATAATATAGGCCACTCAATTCCTAAAGGCAGCAACATACTGAATTCCTGAGCTAATAACCATTTTTACTAATTTTACAGTTTTTCCCAATAATAGTAAAGATTGTTCCCAGAATTGAGCTCTTTACTTTGAAAAAAAAAAATCCCCATCCATTAGTGCAGAAATATAATGATAAGAGCCCTACAACAGACTAAGCATGACTGCGTAAAGCTGTGCATATTTCAAAAATTATTGTATTGAGAAACTGCTTTGGACCTCACTTAAAACACAGCTCCTCATTTCTATTGATTAAAGATATCTTCTGTTTTTCACACTTGCATCAGAGTGATGCCACTCTTTAAGGAAGATGATTAAAACAGTAGCAAATGATTCCTTTGATTTTGCTTTAGAGATGAACTTTTATTTTCATCTTTGTGTATGCAGAAACCAAAAAAAATCAGGCAGAGAAGTGTTGTTCTCATGTAACATTTAAAATAATTTCAACTCATTTTGAAACTTACAAAATCCTTATAATTTTTTTAACTTGTGAGATCCCCGTCTGTTCCCCGATAATTACTGGCATTATCATTTCCAAAATTATATACTACTGGAATGTAGTTCATTGTAACTTCTTGCAGCATATTGTTTTAATTTTTTTCCCCCTACAATATTTTATTTTCCGTTTCCTTTGAAAAAGGAAGGTAAATTGTCAACAAGGTAAAAATAGGAACATAGTATAATGAACAGGAACAATATTCAAATTATTACATTTATCATATCTGTAACCTTCAGCTGGATGAAATGGTGCATCATAGGGCAAAATCTAGTGAAACTTAAAAAATGATGGAATCATTACTCCTGAGGGAATGAAATTTGAGAAAGTTGTGGCTGTGTCAGAGCTGCAGAGCTGCTACTGCAATCATGTGGTTCACATTTTCAAAATTCCATGACATTTTCCCAGCCACTTGTGCAATCCCTTAATTCTCCAGTAGCCATAACCTGCCTGGCTGGAAAGGGAGAGAAGGGAAATGAAAGAAAAAGGAGGGAGGGAGTAAGGAAAAAAGGATAGAAGAAAGGAAAGAAAGATTTCTAATGCTCACTGCCAGATTCCCAGAAGAGAATTCAGTGGGGAAGCCTTTTAGGAAGTCAGAAGTAGGTCTCCTACTGATTGTTTATAATCCTGTTTAAGCAAACATCTGAAACGATAATATGTGATCCTTATTTGCAAACAAGAGGAGATTGGCTTGACATCTTCCCACAAGTGAATTGGAACACTTGCAGGGAGAAAGTCAGTTGGGATCATGTTACAGCGGCTGATGGTGGAAGCATATCAATGCCTTTGGACTTGCAACTTACTTCCTAGGAAACTTGCCGGAAAGGTTGCAAGTTGCAACTATATTACACAAATATATACAAGAAAATGCTTCAAAATGCAAGAAAGATCCCTTTTCATGTATCCAATGTAAATCTATGTAAATTTATGGTTGGGCAAAGTTTCCCAGCCACCTTACCCTCCACATGAAAACTGCAATTATAAGCCCTCTACTAAAACTGCCCACACTTAGCCCACAAGAGTTGAAAAATTATGTTTCATCTATTTCTGGAGAAAAAAAATAAGATTGCCTTGCAGCTTCAAACAAATATAGCCGATAAAGTATATAGGACCTATTTCAATCTGGCTTTTGGCTACAGAATTGTAGCAAGATGGGGACTGCAAGTACTGATGGGGGAGTCCTTATTAGGCTTATTAGGAATTATTACTGAGGAGGCCTGTCATATTACAGGTGCCTCACAAACTTCATGAAATACATGAACTTAGGGCAGGCATCCTGATCAACACACAGTATGTTCAATGCTTGTAAGTGCTGTCTAAAATATCCCAGTGCTGCACAATAAAACTCTGTAACACAAATGCAAGAGTATAAGTCTACTAATTATCCTGGACCTTTTTGCAAATATACATTGACATGTACATTTTCAGTATATGTCAATTACAGTACTTTCTGGATCACATGATACAATATTGTACAGTGGTGTCACGAGGTACCATTACCCAATAGTTCCAATCCTTCATACCCAAAACTGATGCAGGACAGTTATTATTGATCAATATTTACCCAGCTGACCCACTTATTCAGAATCTACATCAGGGCTCCCCAATCTTTTTGGTTCCACAGACTGACCTTTTCAACAGTGGGGAGTAGGGGTGTGTGAATGGTTTTGCATGTGCAACGTAAATGCCATGCATATGCTTTATAGCTCGCCCACTACTTCAGTGGCCCAGTTCTCAATGGGGTCCTGGGGTTGGGGACTCCTGATCTATATGAAAACATTTGGGGGAAATGTCAGAGCTTTGGAATGGGATGCCAACATTATACTAATGATACTTGGTTCCATTCCTCCTTTTTTCTCTTTTCTCGTTTTCAAATTCGCTAAGTATGATGATAGTCTGAGTGAAAGTAAAAAGAGAGAGAAGACAAAGGTGCAAATAAGTAGGAAACTACAATTATTGTCTAACGTTTAGTCAAATTTGGACCAGATTGTATTTCTGAAAGAGCAAGTCCACAGTCCGGGAATTCTCCTTAATCCTCAGCTGTCACTGAATTCTTAGATGACAGCTGCAACAAGGAATATTTTCACACGATTAAACCTAGCATGCCAACTATGAAACTTTCAAAGCTAGTGAAGATTTGCTGAAGGTCGTCCATACCTTAGTTCCATCCTATCTTGGCTATTGGAACATGTTGAATGTAAGGCTATCCTTGAAAAGTGCCCAAAAATTCCAATTGGTGCAAAGTACAGCAGGTAAGCTTAATAACCAGTAGAAACTAGGATCACATTATGCCTTGGATCGCATTGGTTCTTAGTTGTTTTCTGAGCATAATTTAATTTGGGACCTTATTACCTAAAGAATCATTTCTTTTGTTAAGTACCTCTGTCTAACTGTCAGGATCTCCCTGAGAATACCTTTTGATAATCTTCCCCATCTCACTATAAGAGGCTCTAGACTTTCTGCATTGCTCTAAAATAATAAAATGTACTGGTAGTTCCTTAGCTGTATTTGGACTTCTCTCAATATTTAATTCTCTTGTAGGTGTTTAATACATGATTTTAACATTCATTTACGTTTTTAATCTTTTACTGTGCTCTTCATTTAGCCACCTTCAATGGCTAAAACAGGAATAACAACAATTGCATGAGGCGAATGTATTGCTAATTCTTCAAACCATCATCTCACTGAAAAAGAAAGATCAAGCTGTATCTCATCATCATACTCTACAAATCTATAACACCTCAGAATTGTTGGATCTCATATGTGAGTGATGAGAAGACTAAGAGCTTAGGTATATAAATCTTGATACTTAGTTTTCTTCACCTGACTGGAACTAGAAGTTTCCACTTCACTTTTCATATTGAAAGTCTTCTTAAAGACAGTTCTCAGTAGTCATAAATAGAGGTACTTGAGTATTGCCCTCTGTCCTTGTATTCAAATATACCCATCTACTAACTCATCTTCTAAATTAAATCCCTTCTTTCTAATAAAGGTTTAGGCAGATAAGTCTGTCAACTGTCAGAGAGCTCATCCCATGTTATCCAGGTTACTCATGTTTCCTCTGAATCATGTTAAGAATAAAGAAAAATTCCAGTATCTCTTTTTCCAGTTAAATCAAGAACAAGGATTCTAGACTAACACAAGTACTGGTTTTGGAAGGACTTTCAAGGTTGTATCTCTGAAGAGAAATATTCCAAATCCATAAGCACTGATCTAAAGACAAGCTAATTCTGAGGTGTTAGAATCTGAAAAGCTTCTAATTCAACCTTTAAAACATGCAGATGATCAATAGTGTTGAATTTTAAACTAAAATAGAAACTAAGTTTAAATTTGTTAAATGGAATTTTTAATTAAGCTCAGCTAAGGTTCTTTTTCTGATTAGAAGTTATACTTTGATTTTTAAAGAAAGTTAATTATTCATGAGATGCAGGAAGCATACAGGTAGTCCTCAGTTTACGAACAACTGAGCCCAAAATGTATGTTACTAAGTGAGACCTTTGTTAAGTTAGTTTTGCCCCATTTTATGACCTTGCCACAGTTACTAAGTGAATCATTGCAACTGCTAAGTTAATAACCCGAATGTTAAGTGAATCTGGCTTCCCCATTGACTTTGTTTGTCAGAAGGTCACAAACATTTATCACATGACTCCATCATAAATATGAACAAGTTGCTAAGCATCTGAATTTTGATAAAGTCATCATGAGGATGCTACAATGGTCATAAGTGTGAAAAACAGTTGTAACTCAACTTTTTTTCAGTGCCATGGTAACCTTGAGTTACAATAAACAAACTGCTGTAAGTTGAGGACTACCTATATAAAAATCAGGAATTTTTTTGCCAGAAATTGTCCTGCTCAATATGAAGATTTGCCATTAAATTTTAGCATGCAGTTTAGAAGCGGGGGACAAAATGTCCCAAAGTCTGCCTGCCTCTCATTTACCTTAAATCAACTTAAACTTTAATTGGAATCAGTTTTCTTCAGTTGATGCAATTTTCCTTTGAAGAGGCAGTAAAAACTAAACTTATAACTCTTAAAAGCTAAATTAGATGTGATATTAATAAAGAATAAAAATGATCATTGAAATAATACTCCAACTCAGTGTTGTAGTGCTTTTTCTAAGTTCCACTTGCATTCCATATAGTGACATATCATAATGCAGGTGATCAAGTAAATGTTACTGGATCTCTTGATAGCTCTGGTGTGCATATTGGATTACATCCAAATTAAGTCATACTTTAGTCTTCAGAAATGAATAGGTCTTACTAGCTTACTCCATAAACATCTATGAAACTAAAGCAATATTCTTTAGTACAGTTGTAAAAATCCATCAGTAAAGCCATCAAGTCAGGAGCCAAACACAAAATTAGGATCAAATATAATATAATCTTTTAACACAAATTTAATTCCAGCCAATATTCTTCCAAACTATGAATGCTCATGATACAGTTGTATCCTACCTCTTGTCTGAGTTTGTGGCAAGTTATTGAATGTATTTTTCTCCAGCAGGAATCACAGTTCAGAAGCTTGAATATATTCCAAGTCAGCATAGGATATTAATTCAAGGACAAGGAAAAGGAAATCTCTTGGAAGCTCAAACAATATTTCTTTATACTATGGATTGATTGAACTTTATTCAATGTATATGGCTGCCTATCTCAAACAAGTGACTTTTGGAAACTAACAATAACAACAATAATGCTATTTTTGTAACCTCCCCACAATACAAATACAATAATTGACCCACATGGTCAATTGGCAAATGAGATTAAAAAACAATAAAAAATTAACGTAAATAATTAAAATGGTTAATAAAACAGCACCTATTTCTAAAATGCATACTGGCCATGTAACTATGGTGTCATAGAGTGAACAAATTACTCAAGGGACTCCTTGTGGATTGCCAGTTGTTGTTTTTGACCCAACCCTGTTTATATCCAGCAAGATGTAATATGGACTTCAGCTGTCTTGCATATTTGAGCTGCATGGAGAATGAAAGCAAATGAAAGGGAAAATTATTTGTTATTCAATGAACTGCATGAATGGAAATGTGCTTCCCCTACATATTCTCTTATTTCTTATATCTATTGTACCCAAATTGCAAAAATTGAAAATAAGTGCTTCCCGAATCTTTTGGCTACCATCTAATGGTCATCTGGGTTTTTGCAGTCCAGATCTGATAAACCTGCTTTCTAGGTTTACTTCTTGCTGTTTTGCTCACTAAAGATGTTGGAAGCTATCCAAGAGGAAGAAAATTTGGAGTCTGACTATTGTACAGAATTCAGTCCTGAACATTTATGCCAAAATAACAAAGCAGAAGACAAAGAAATATCCATGTGATTGAAATAGACACAGTCTAATTGTTAAAGCAGCAGATTAGAAACCAAGAGACCCTAAGTCCTAGTCCTGTCTTAGACATGAAAGCTGGTTGAATAACTTTGGGCCCGTCACACTTTCTCAGTCCAACCCGCCTCTTAAAATTGTTATTGTTGGGAATATTGAAAGAGGAAGAAGTTTTGGATATATTTGTTGCCTTGAGTTAGTTATACAAATAATAAAGATGTGATTTTAAAAAAAAAAATCTCAAAAATAAAATCACTAAATTGTGCTGATAAAGTTTGTGTTGTATCTTTTTCATAGGTGAGCTCATTCACTGTTTCTCTGATATTTTTGAACTTCAGTTTAATTTCTATACCAGTTGATTGGGAATAAAATTAATTGATAGGCTATTTTTTTATGAAGAAAAAAAAGGGGGTTTAAAATTTGTTTCGTGAAGAAGCATTCAACTTGCTGCTCCACTCTATAGTATAAAGTACAATTTAGGAAGATCTTTCAGTTTGTTTTTCTCTATGAAAAGAGTGTCCTGAAAACTAAGCCATTTAAAGATAGAAAAATAGATATGGAAATTTTAAGACAAATGATGACTAGTATGTGATTTTAAATGAGGAATGAATGTTGAAAGAAGAAAAAACATGGCTATGCATCTGAGCCTGCCTTTATTTTGCTTCAAAGAATTGAGTGAAATATATCAGGGAAAATATGGAAGTAATTTAAATGCGATTGTAATTGTTGATTGAATGCAGGCATTGATGTGTAGCCTTTAGACTAGCAATTCTAGTTGGCATAGAATAATACGAGCACACTTGGAATAAAATGAGACTTAGTCTGTACTTATACTGACCAAAATACGCCAAAACTCACTGGTGATTAGTACATGGGATTGCATGTGGCCCAGCTATAACTAAGGCTGATAGTGTGATCTACATCTTTTGCAATTTACTAATAAGCATAATGTGAAAGCCTCATGTGACCAAAAACAATGATGGACACAAGAGGTAAACAACTATGAACCTTTCTTTCATGGTACAAGGAAGAGTTTGACTTGAAATGTAAATGTTCTCCATGCAGACACCATTTATCCCCCTAAAATCCACACATAATCTCATCGACTCTTTTTTTTCTTTAAATAAGACCGGAGCCACCACTTGAGGCTTTGCGAGCTGAATGAATCCTTGAGCTAAGTTCTTGTCTATGTATTCCTTTAGCTCCCTCATTTCTCTGGGGGACATGGAGTACATCTTAGGCTTCAGTAGCTTCGCCTCGGTATGATCTTGATTGGCACAGTCAGCTGTATGGTAGGGAGGTAGCATTCTGCACTCCTACTTGCTGAACAACCTGGCTAGGTCTTGGTACCACCAGTAGTTTGGTGGTGGCTGCCCTCCCTCACTTGCCCCAGGCCTTCCTCTTCCTGCCAGATTTGCTCATGAGGCGGGAGATGAGGGCCTCTTGCCAGTCTCATACTCCAGCTTCCCCCTTCCCACCAGATCATAGGACCCCACTTATCTAGCCATGCTCGCCCTAGGATTACTGACTCCGTAATGGGGACGATGACGAATCTGATCATATCCCAGTGCTGGAACATTTCTAGTTCAATCAGATGGGTGGATGATGCCCCACACAACAGGGAGCCATCCAACTACTTGAACATAATGGATTTAGACAGTCTCTGCTCAGATTCCCAAATTTACAGCAGCTGGTAAGCTAATTAGGCACCACCTGCATCCCGAATCTATCAGGGCTTCAAACTTCCCCTGAGCCCCAAAGTTGGGTGCTGTGATGGTGATGGACAAGGGACTCCACTTATCATCAGGTCACTCTCCATCCTCACTGTCGTAGGAGTTCAACATGGGCTCCTCATCAGCTGGAGTTCCCTATTCCTCAGAACTGCAGGAGGGGACCTCTATGGCCTGATGAATGGCTTGGGACTTCTTGGGTGTCTTCCTGGGCAGTTTCCTTGGCATCTCAAGGCCTGGTGGGCCACCTTTCAGGTTGGGACTGGGTGCTGGGCACAAAGCGGTGCAGTGACACAGTGGGCCACTTCAGAAGCACTGGAATGGCATCCGGGCACTCCTTGCAGGGATCCCACCATGACGGCTGGCCCCGCTTGCTTCTTGGTGGCGGCTTCTCCTGGCCCCTTAATGGCTTCAGGCTAGCATCACTCTTGGGTCTGCACTGCCTAGTTCCACATCCAAGTCGGTGGCTGCCCAGTACCAATCATTGAACCAGTTGAGCAGTCCCCGGTAGGTACAGGCCTGCCGTAGTTCACAATGAAGGCACACCTTGAAATAATGGACCAGTAATGGCCACTGCTTCAGTTTCCCCATGATTCGGCGGAACTTGTGGATGTATTCTTGCACTGATTTACCCCTTTGTTTCAGCATTTGCAGCCCCCCCTCAGCTTGTTGAACACACATGACGTCCTCAAAACGGTCTCTCAGTTCCTTGAGGAAAAAACCAACATTCCCCAGCACCCGAGCATTCTCCTCATGGAGGTTGGCCACCCATTTGAAGGCCTTTCCTTCCAGGCCTGCAGCTATGGCATTGACCATTGCTTTCTGGTTAGGATAGGCATGGGCATAGTAGTCTACATGTGCAATCACTTGGCTCAGAAAAAACACCGATTAGGGTCCCCATCAAAAGTTGCTCTGAATAGTGGAGGCTCCATCATCTGCTGTGGTGGCTGCCAGTAGGTGAGCTGCCATTCAGGGGCACTTGGGGTTGGTGAGCCTGAAGTGACTTGGGCCTCAGGAGGAGGTTCAAATGGCTGTACCATAGGGTGGGCTGGCTGTTGCCAGTGCCATTGAGTCAGGATAGGAGCTGGCCTCTTCACCTCCAGTCCCCTCACTGCTGGTTGGGGCCTCTGCTCCATCTCTCTGCCTTCCACTCCTGCCCCCTTCTCCACCCAAGCCTTCTAGTCTAGGCTTGAAGTAGTTTCTGGGTGAAACTTCGAGGTGGTCAGTTGAAATCGGCTGACGGAACTTTGACTTCTCTGGTCAGGATACAGCTCCATTAGGTAGCTGTGCACCCTGCCTCTGGCCTCCCATCCCTGCCACAATCTGGCATCCTGGAAGCTTGCCCCGTTGAACCTTTCCCTGAACTGCTCCAACTCTTGGCCAACAGGCATTGTCAAATAGTTCTAGTCCTCCCCCTCATCCTCTTCAGTCACTTTCCATTCTCTTCACTGTGTTAGGTGTGATCCAGAAAGGTTCAGCGACACTGCTGGGGCTCCAGTCTCAAGGGCTGCCATCATCGCCTGCCACCATCCCTCGGCTTTGGTCAGATGGGGGGTCTCTGTCACCACCAGCTCAAGCCAGGCTGCTGGTGTCTTGGCTCCCTCCACCTGAACCTTTGGGCAGACCTCCAGCTGCTGAGGTTCTCCTGTCACTGGCGCAGTCACCAACACTGTCACCAGAATCACTTCAGGTTCAACAGCCTTGGTTCCCTTCACCATCCCTTCTGCCATCATCCCCTGAGGTTTTCCAACCCTTGTGGTGAGTATTGGGTGGTCAGCCGGGTCTCAGGGGTCCTGGGCAAATTTTAGATTGTGCAGAGCTAGCTTGATGTCATCGTTCCAAGTAATAAACTCAGAGAAGTCAGGATTCTAATGCTTTGTTCAGATTCAAGAGATCTTTTATTGAGTACATCATATCAGCATATACAAAGGTGAAGCTACCTCTAAATTATTCCTGCACTTAGGGATAGTTAAAAGAATGAGACCTCCCCACCCCCCCCTTTATCTCTTGAGTCACATGAGCCAATCAGTCCAGGTGTAGGTTTCCGCTCAACTTCAATGAATGTCTGTTGAAATGACTTTGGTTCACACGCTGGCTGGTAAATGTTATGGCTAGCTGGCTGAAGCACTAATTCCTTGAATGGCAATGAAGAAACAAAGCAGAAGTAAGCATAGCTTCAGTTGAAGTTGTTTTGCAGGTTAACTTAATGATTTAGGCAATCCTTAACTCACTATCTCAATTGAGTCCAACAAAATTTCCATTGGTAGGTGTGGTAGTTGAGTTCTGCCCCATTTTTTGACTTGTTTTGCTGCAGTTGTCAAGTGAATCATGCAATCACTAAGTGAATCTGGCTTCCCCCATTGATTTTGCTTGTTGGTTACAAATGGTAGTCACATGACCTCAGGATAGTGCAACTGTTATACATGCCAGTTGATAAATGCCAGAATTTTGATCACATGACCCTGAGGATGCTGCAATGGTCATGTGAAAAACAGTTATAAGTTTTTTTTTCCAGTGTGGTTTTAACTTTGAACAGCACTAAATGAATGGTTGTAAGTAAAGAACCATCTGTATAATGCATTTAATTGCATAAAGTTTTTGACCCACTGCATGCGTCCAACAAAAGTATTTTGTTGCTGAATTTCATTTGTACTTGGGATCCAATGCATTAGCCAGCATTGATGGATTCCAGTTGCTCTTATATTATTTTTCCATTATGGCAATGCCCTGGTGAAATCCTCCACTATGTTCATTTCTGTTTGGAAAAGACATCCAAGTGTGAATGCAGAAAATGAATCTTCAATGACATAACAGATAACAGATAATCAGAGTTGGAAGGGACCTTGTAGGTCATCTAGTCCAAGCGGGAGACCCTACACCATTTCTGACAAATGGCAGTCCAATCTCTTCTTGAAAGTCTCAAGTGATGGCGCTCCCACAATTTCCGAGGGCAAGGTGTTCCATTGGTTGATTGTTCTCATGTAGCATTTCATATTGCATTTCGTGTTGTAAGAAGTTTTTTTAACCAGCTGAATGTATTTCGTGCTCTGTAATTGCAAAAAAGATTCTCAACAACATCCTTCTCAACAACATCCAAAAAAAAATTCTCAACAAAATCCAGGTGATTTTCTCTGACCCAGTAACAGATCTTCAGACTGCTTGCTATTGATGATTTATGGACCAACAAACTTTCCCATTTATTGCTTTTACAAAAATGTTCATCAATCTGAGTTTTATGTGAAGCAGAAGCAAAAATATCTTTGTTGAGTCAACAAGTGGTTCATATGCAACATTCTTCTGTCCTGGAACCACATTCTTTCACACTAGCCATTTCTTTTTATGTAATATGACTCTCTTGCACAACAGTCCCACTCCCATGTGTAACAGTAATACTTGGTATGTCTCGGATGCATTCCAAGCAGAGCCATTACTTTTAGATTTCCACAGATATACCAGTTGTATTTGGTGTACTGGATGTGTTTCAACAACAGTTCCATGCTTTCATAAACCGCACCAAACTTGATTGCAGGAAAT